GTGGGCTTCAGTAGTTGTAGCACGTGGGCTCAGTAGTTGTGGCATGCGGGCCCTAGAGTGCAGGCTCAGTAGTTGTGGTGCATGGGCTTAGTTGCTCCTCGGCATGTGGGATCTTCCCAGACCAGGGCTCAAACCTGTGTCCCTGCATTGGCAGGTGGATTCTCAACCACTGCACCACCAGGGAAACCCTAGAAACGCTTTTTTTTTTTTTTGTCTCTCACCATTTTTATTCAACATTGTATGGGTGATTCTACTCAGGGCGATTAGGTAAGAAAGAGAAATTTTTTAATTAGTGGTTGCTTAGGGTTGGGGAGTGGGGGTAGGAGGGTGATAGCTAAAGTAGAAACTCCTTCTTAAATAGGGTCTGAGTTTATAGTTCTTTCATATGTAGTTACCTGTTACAGCAGCCCAACTGATGTGTTGGTGAAGTGCAGGGGAGGGGAAGTGTTCTATAATTCTATTCGGTCTCAGTCTTTTAGTGAACTTGTGTCCCTGGTCTGTGACCTTCACAGGTGCTTCTTGTCTTTTTTCCCTCTTAGATGAAACAAGACAGCTATAGGAAGCTGGAGTTGGTTATTTTCCTTCTCCCACGTTGGTTAGGCTCTGTTAAATAGTTTCCCTTGAGGGAAGGTCTTTGTTAAGGAGAATGGAATGCTGTGGTATATTTCAAAACGGCTACTTTTTCCCTCTCCCTGCTGGAAGGATGAAGGGATTTTTCTCCAATCTTCATAGTAAGACCTGTGGGGCTCCTAGAGGTAAAACTCATGAAAATGTGGGCAACCCCTTAGGCTGGGCCTCCAGGAGTTTTTAAAAAAATCTTTCAATCTAGTTCAGTCTCCACCAGTTAGTCAATTGCCCTTTAAGTATTCCTGTCAGTTGCTGGTTCCAGTAGTAGTTTTTGCTCCTAGTAAGCCATGATTCTGTGTTCTGCCTGTTCTGATCTTGCCTGTCTCTCTAGTTTTTGTGGTGGAGATTTGCCCTGTCACTTCAATTCTCTGATGGATCTAAGAAGGGTTATTGATTTTCAGTTTGTTCAGTTTTTTTGTTGCTGTGAGAACAGGAGTGATAATTTCCAAGCTCTTTACATGTCAGATGGGAAACCAGAAGTCCCTGTCTATTGCACCTGTATGGAGGAAATACTATGTGATGGTATGTTCATCTCTTCCCAATTTCATGATCAGTGATGTCACATTGGTAGTTTGAAATTGACCATGGTGGGAGAGTTTACACTATAGAAATTGGCAAATACTACAAACAAGGTCTTAATTTGTTTTGTTGATTGTCAAGAAAGTGATCAAGAAAATGTTAATAATGTAGATTAAGTTTAAAAGTGTATCATATCTGTAGCCATTACATTGTCAAAAGCACAAAAAATTGAAATATTTTTGCAGTATTCAAAAACTATTATCCAATTCAGCAAAGATGTTGCTCAAGTCATTAACAAATAAGTGAAGTTCCAACATAAGTCTCATTGTTTCACTTTCATCTTATTAATGCAAATGAAAATGTCAACCAGAAATCAAAGCTATACAGGCATCCCTCATTTTACTGCACTTTGCCTTACTGCACTTTGCAGATACTATGTTTTTTACAAATTGAAGGTTTGTGACAACACTGCATTGAGCAAGTCTACTGGCTCAGACTTTTTTTCCAACAGCATTTGCTCACTTTGTGTTTCTGTGTCACATTTTGGTAATTCTCGCAATATTTCTTTTTCATTATTATTATATTTGTTATAGTGATCTGTGGTCAGTGATGCTACTATTGCAAAAAGATTACAACTCACTGAAGGCTCAGATGGTGGTTAGCATTTTTTAGCAACAAAAAAATATATATATATATTTTAATGAAATCCTTTAGTTTATTTATTTAATTTTGCTGTGTTGGGTCTCCGTTTCTGTGCAAGGGCTTTCTCTAGCTGCGGCAAGCGGGGGCCACTCTTCATCGCAGTGCACGGGCCTCTCACTATCGCGGCCTCTCTCGTTGCGGAGCACAGGCTCCAGATGCACAGGCTCAGTAGCTGTGGCTCACGGGCCCAGTTGCTCCGCGGCATGTGGGATCCTCCCAGACCAGGGCTTGAACCCGTGTCCCCTGCACTAGCAGGCAGACCCTCAACCACTGCGCCACCAGGGAAGCTCCCAAAATATTTTTTAATTAAGATGGTAGTTAGCATTTTTTAGCAACAAACTATTTTTTAATTAAGGTATGTAAATTGTTTTCTAGACATAATGGTATTGCACACTTAATAGACTACAGTACACATAACTTCTTATGACTGGGAAACCAAAATATTCGTGTGACTCACTTTATTGCAATATTCGCTTTATTGTGGTGGTCTGGAACTGAACCCACAATATCTTCAAGGTATGCCTGTATTCATTTGTCAAATGCCATCATAGGTTGGTTCTTGATTCAAGAGTTTGGCAAAAGTCAATGAAAGCATTCTGTGAGAATCAGTTGGCTATGAGAAATTTACGATAAAGAATATTGTATATTTTAATTTTTGTAAATTGCATGCTATACATCCTTTCTATCAGTAAATTTTACAATAAACTTATGTAAATATACACATCACTGAACATGGAGTTGGGGATAGTTATGAATAGCACACCATCCTTTCATATTTTAGTTTGGAGACTATATGAATGTTGGGGAGAAACTGTTTTAAAAGTAGTAAATGGTAATGTGTGACATGACTGAAATATGACATTCACAAGCACAAAACAAAAAAGATCAAACCACGAAATATCATCCTGTACCCAGAATAAGTAGCCTTACAAGTGTGAGTTACAGGGAATGGAGTCCTATTTAAAATTTTAAAAAAGGACAGGAAAATTCCCCTGGTCTAAGATTTTGTCAATTGTTCTTTAAGGGCAATGTATCTGAAAGCTAACATCTTTGACAATAAGCATGTATTGAACACCCACCATATGTCAGATGGTGTTCTGTTCAGGATGACCCTTATGATCACACAGCTGGTTAATACAGTAACTGGGAAATTTTAGGACATTATACTAAGTGAAATAATCCAGTCACAGAAAGACAAATACTGTATGATTCCACTTATACGAAATATCTAAAGTAGTCAAACTCAAAGAAACAGAAAGCAGAATGGGAGTTGTCAGGGCTGGGGGTAGGCGGAAATGGGGAGTTGTTCAATGGGTATAGAGTTTCAGTTTTGCAAAAAGAAAAAGTTGTAGATACCTGTTGCCTAACAATGTGAATATAGTTGACACTACTGAACCGTACACTTAAAAGTGGTTGAGATAGTTTAAAAAAAAAAAAAAGAATAGCTGGGCTTTGAAACCAGGCCTGAATCAAAAACTCATGTTTAGCAATTATGTAATCACAGCTGCCTACTTTCAAATAATTTCATCTTCAGTCAAAGAATATTTCCTTTCTCTGATTTACACAGGTCCCCCTCTTCTGTATGGCAGGGTAGCAAGCCATTGGCTAGCAGCTGCATTGCCTGAAGCCTGTCAGATACCAGAACGTTTTCTTGGAAGATTGGTACACAGCCACCAGCGCAAATTCAAAATGGGGTCATCAATCCAAGAGATTTAGTGGAGAAACAAACACAGGTCAGAGAAATAGGCAAGAGGAGTCTGGGAGAAATAATTTTGCCTGTTTAAAAGACAAAATTCATGATGACATAACTGAGAACGTGCTTTTCTATTAAAAGAAAAAAGTCTGTCATGGAAGAGGTTTGAAATCATAATATTTTTAATGTTATAACTTGAAGTATTTTTTCCTGAATTCTTCCAGAGTAAAACAGAGCTAAAGCTAATTATAGGCAGTATATGGCAGAGGAGGGCCTGGAGTGGAAGAAAATACTTCTGAGAATGAATTAGAATCAAACTGAGTGGGAACAGCCATGTCTAGAAATGACAAAACACAAAATATTTATTATAAAAGACAAAAGATTCTAATATTACCCAAATTTAATCAAGGTGAATTGACTGTTCCAGAAAAGCAAGAGTACAGCTTGCTAGAATGGAAAGAACAATGGAATCAGACTTGATTTTAAAATCTACACTGATAAGTGGTGTAGTGTAGGACAAACTACTTAATCTTCCCAAGCCTGTTTCTCTACTGTAGGTTGTTGTGAGCACTTGTTTGACAAACACTTATTGACTACTAGGGCCAGGACTGACTGCGTAGGTGCTAGGGATACAAAAATGAAGATGGTATTGTTCTTGCCGTCAACTTCAATATAATGTAATAAATATTATGAGAAAATCTACTGAATGTTTTCTACGTGCCCGGTACTAATATAAATGCTTTAAGCTCATTAAATCTTCATTTAAACCTTTTCAGAAACTAAACCATATGTACTACACCATTTACAAGAGGCACAGAGAAGTTAAGTATCTTGCCTAGGATCAGACAGCCCTCAAACAGCTGGGATTCATCTTGACAGGTGGCAGGAATTTACAAATCTGTGCATGCGCAGGGTGGGAGTGGAAGCTTTCCACCCGGAAGGAGTTCACCCGTTCGCAAAATAGGGATTAAAATATCACTACCTCTTGGGGTTGTATCAATTAAATGAGATAGTATATTTAAGAGTCAGCATTGTGGTAAGCACTAAATTATTTCCATTAATTCCATTTTATTCCTTTAAGTTGGCTCACCGTGGCGAAGGAATGTTTTCAAGGCTTTAGCTACATATTGCAACGCGGCTTTTCAAATGGGTAATTTATACTGCTACCAACAGTGCGAGAGCTTTCCAGTTGCTTTATGTTCTAATATACGGTAGGGCTACTCTCTTTGATTACTTTTTTCAGTTTTTGACAGTCTCACCCCTTTTCTCTGTTAAGTTCGCCATCTGCCCAGTTTTATACCGTCACCTACGTCACAAGCGAAGTTCTCCGAGCAACCGCCCAGCGGCGCGTGAGCGGACGCCGCATTCAGCTTTGCTCAGCGCGCGAAGGCAGAACCCAGTTCTCGCGGGAAGAGACGTGGTTTATTTTTGAACGAGAACTCCTAACCGCACCTTGCCTCTCAAGGGTCACAAGACTGGCGCCTGTGTCCTCGACGCAAGGTGTTTCCTGCTGCCTGTTAACTCGGCTACAGAGTGACCCGAGGTCCGTTCCGGAAGTGGATTCTTTAACTTAGCAACCCGTCGGCGGAAGCGTGTCACAATCTAGCCGTCCTCCCCTGGCGGAAGTTTGTCGCGTCGCAGTTGTCTCCGTACGGCGGATGTGTGTCGCCGCTTAGGTGACGCTGGGAAGTGCTTGCAGCCGCCGCCGCTGCCTTTTGGTTGAAGCACTATGGAGGGAGAGAGAAAGAACAACAATAAACGGTGGTATTTTACTCGAGAACTGCTGGAAAATAGCCCATCCCGTCGTTTTGGCCTGGACCCCGATAAAGAACTTTCTTATCGCCAGCAGGCGGCCAATCTGCTCCAGGACATGGGCCAACGTCTTAACGTGTATCCTTGCGGCCTAGGCCTTCGGCCTTGGAGTAGGTCCCGCCCTGTTTGGGCGTCCAGGCTTCAAGGCCTGTCAGACAGAAGGGAAGAGGGTGGGCAGGGACTGGATGTCTAGTTAGGAGAGCCTACGATGGGGCGAACTGAAGTTAAGCGTTCGCTGGAGGGAAGCGAGGCCGAGTTAATTTCCCGCTCGCTCACCCGTGCCATCAACCTTGCTGGGAACGCGTATCCTTTCCGCTTTGTGTTTTAACTCCTCTTCCTCGTAGTCTGTTTTCGGTGTGTTCTGATCTCCTACTTTAGTGACTTCGAGATTCTGGTTTTCTGCTATGCCCTAGGGATCTGGTGGAGAGTTCACTGTTGATGGCTGCCTCTTGAACTTAGTGTGTAAAGAGAGTTTTGAGAAATTTCGATACCTGAAGGTCTTATAAAGAGAGTGGTCTAGAATTAATGCCCCAGCTTTGGCTTAAAATCCGTTCCTTCCCCTTACTAGTTGTTTAAGAAACCTGTCGAATTCTTGGTTTTCTTGTCTGTAAAATGGGGGTGATAACTCATGAATTTGATTTCTATGCCCAACACAATGCTTGGCACTCATATGTTAAAGTAGCTACTGTTAAGAGTTTTATAGCATTTCAGAGGAAGGAAGGATGTCAGTGTAGATTTGTAGGGATGTAGACCTACAGATCTAATGTTCTAAAAAACCTTTTATAAAATACTGTGTTTTAAAGTTACTCAGAGTGCTAATGTATATTCGTTTTCCTCATATTTCAAAGATTTAGTGATTTTTTTTTCCCTTTAAGTGTTTTTGTTTGTCAGAAAACCTACTCATTTTGTAGCAGAGAAAGCTATATAAATTCTTTCCACTCAGGAAATGAAAATTTATTCTTGGGTGCAGCTTCCATTTAAATGTGTTGCTGGCTGTATGTTTGTGTCTTAAGGTTGTGCTCACTTCAAAAGTGGTGTCCTCTTTGGTGCCTGTATCCAGTTTGTTTCCTAAGCATCCAGTCAGTACTGAGTTAAACCTTTTTTTTTTTTTTAAATTCTGTTTCAGTGCATCCTAGCACTTTCCTTTTTACATGTGTGTTATTAAGGTTGTTGCCATTGTGGTACTGTCTCATCTCTGTATATCCCACATTGTTTTCTGAGGTCTTTATAATAAGACATTCAAAAGTTTCTCTTTTCAAGGGAACCCTTGTACACTGTTGGTGGGAGTGTAGCTTGGTGCAGTCACTGTGGAAAACAGTATGGAGGTTTCTCAAAAAGCTAAAAATAGAACTGCTGTTTGACCCAGCAATTCCACACCTGGGTATATATCTGAAAAACACAAAAACACATATTTGAAAATATACATGCACCCCAGTGTTCATAGCAGCATTATTTATAATTGCCAAGGTATGGAAGCAACCTGAATGTTCATTGAAGGATGAATGGATAAGGAAGATGTGGTATATATACACAATGGAATACTACTCAGCCATAAAAAAGAATGAAACAATGCCATTTGCAGCAACATGGATGGACCTAGAGATGATCATACTAAGTGAAGTAGTCAGAGAAAGACAAATATGTGATATCATTTATATGTGGAACCTAAGAAATACAACAAACTAGTGGAAACAAAAAGGCATATTCACAGATATAGAGAACAGACTAGTGGTTACCAGTGGGGAGAGAAGGGAGGGGCAAACTACTGGCTGTAAGTTAGGCTATAAGGATTTATTGCACAACAAGGGACTGTAGCCAATATTTTGTAATAACTAGAAATGGAGCTCTTTAAAAATTAAAATCAGAAAAAATGTTTTTCTTTTTAGTGAGTATCAAATAACTTACTGAATGAATATCAAATCATAGTGTTTCTGGTCCCAGGGATCACCTTATGAGTGCCAGAGAGAAGTAGAACTGAAAAGGTAATTGCTGGAGCTTAGAAGGTGAGGAGATAAGTGGAGACATACCTAGGGGGCAGATCAGGGAGAGTGTTGTAACTCATTTGAAGAGATATCCTGTGCAAGTATATCACCTTGGCAGGATTTTCAGTAGGCAAGTAACAGGTTTAGGTCTTATATAGTTTTGTTCATATTCCTTCTTGATCCACATGCTGAGAAGCTTTGCTTGTTTATTAATTCAGCAACTTTATAGTGAATATCTGTTACATATAAGACAGTGTGTTAAGTGTCAATTGGAAGTTAATTGATGAAAGAACAGATTTGCTTTTTAATTCTTAGAGGAAAGTATGATTTTTTTTTAAAGTTGAAGTATAGATGTACAATGTTATGTTAGTTTCAGGTGTACAGCAAAGTGATTCAGTTATACATATATATACATAGTCTTTTTTTTTTTTTTTTTTTTCCAAACACACAGCTTTTTGGCTCTTAGTTTCCCGACCAGTGATTGAACCCAGGCCCACGGCAGTGAAAGCACTGAGTCCTAACCACTGGACTGCCAGGGAATTCCCTACATATTCTTTTTCATATTCTTTTCCATTATGGTTTATTACAGGATATTGAATATAGTTCCCTGTGCTATACAGTAGGACCTTGTTGTTTATTATATATATAGTCATTTGTATCTGCTAATCCCAAACTCCTAGTTTATCCCTTTTCCCCCTTTGGTAACCTTAAGTTTGATTTTTGGGTCTGTGAGTTTGTTTCTGTTTCATAAATGAGTTCATTTGTGTCATATTTTAGATTCCACATTTAAGTGATATCATATGGTATTTGTCATTCTCTTTCTGACTGACTTAGTATGATAATCTCTAGGTCCATCCATGTTGCTGCAAATGGCATTATTTCATTCTTTTTTTATGGCTGAGTAGTATTCCATTCTGTATATATACACTACATCTTCTTTATCCATTCATCTGTTGATGGACATTTAGGTTGTTTCCATGCCTTGGCTATTGTAAATAGTGCTGCTATGAACATTGGGGTGCATGCACCTTTTCTTTCTTTTTTTTAAAAAAATTTATTTATTTTATTTATTTATTTTTGGCTGTGTTGGGTCTTCGTTGCTGCATGCGGGCTTTCTCTTGTTGCGGCGAGTGGGGGCTATTCTTCGTTGAGGTGTGCAGGCTTCTCATTGCGCTGGCTTCTCTTGTTGTGGAGCACGGGCTCTAGGTGCGCAGGCTTCAGTAGTTGTGGTGTGTGGGCTCAGTAGCTGTGTCTCGTGGGCTCTAGAGTGCAGGCTCAGTAGTTGTGGCACACGGGCTTAATTGCTTCACGGCATGTGGGAATCTTCTTGGACCAGGGCTCGAACCAGTGTCCTCTGCATTGGGAGGCGGATTCTTAACCACTGCTCCACCAGGGAAGTCCCTATTTTTAGTTTTTTAAGGAACCTCCATACTGTTTTTCATAGCGGCTGCATCAATTTGCATTTCCACTAAGAGTGTAGGAGGTGTCCCTTTCTCCACACCCCTGAGAGGTAAGTATGATTTTAATTTAGGGGCATCCACTGTGCTTGGCTGCATGGTCCTTTTGGGAGGATATAGAGGTTGTATTTCTGGGAATTGTACTGCCCGTCTGTTTTGGGACCTTAACTTGAACATTTTAGCTCACAATTGACCATCAACACTGCTATAGTGTACATGCATCGATTCTACATGATTCAGTCCTTTACACAGTTCCATCGAAATGTAAGTATAATTTTTATATATGGTGTAATCCTTTTGTGATTAATCTCAACTTCATATTTCTTTTATGGTTGATCTTTGCTGCTGAACTGGGATTTGAAGTTTAGAGTTTATGATTGATCACTTTCATTATGTGTCACACTGCTGTTCTGAATCCAGCCTTCCAGTTTTCCTGTGAAGTGTCTAGCTAGTTGTTTAGCTTTAGTGCATCCTTAGAGTAGGTGGATTCTCTAATAAAATAGATTATTGAACATTTAAACTTAATGTTTTTGGATTGGGAGAGTAGCATTAAAGGGGGGTAGCATTACACTTAATTTAAGTGTGATTTTTGAAATGTTTAATAATAATATGGGCACAGGAAAACAAGTGAATGTTAAGTCATTTACATTTTCTAAAAACCTTTGATAAAATTCCCATCAATGACCAGTTGGAAGGGGAAGGTGTGTTATGTGATAACTGGGGGATGACTTTTAAGACAGAAAAAAGAAAATAATAGTAATAAAGGGATTTTTTTTTTTCTGGACAGAATTGTAAATAGTGCTATTTTCAGTTTTGCTACCTGAAATGGTCCTATTTAACATTATTGTAAATGACTTGGAAGCGAGTGCATAGTGATATCCCAGTTGCAGGTAAGCTTATATTTGTTTAATAAAATCACAAGGTAATAGGGCTAAACTTGAACACTTCTGAGTCAAATATTTCATTATTTTTTTAAGAAAAGGTTATGTTTTGAGGAAAGGTGTTTCAGACTTAGGATGATAGCTTTTTTTTTTTTTAAATAAATTTATTTATTTTTGGCTGCATTGGGTCTTCATTGCTGCGCTCAGACTTTCTCTAGTTGTGGCGAGCGGGGGCTACTCTTCGTTACGGTGTGTGGGCTTCTCGTTGCGACGGCTTCTCTTGTTGTGGAGCACGGGCTCTAGGTGCCCGGGCTTCAGTAGTTGTGGCTCGTGGGCTCTAGAGCACAGGCTTAGTAGTTGTGCACGGGCTTAGTTGCTCCACGGCATGTGGGATCTTCCCGGACCAGGGCTCAAGCCCATGACCCCTGCATTGGCAGGCAGATTCTTAACCACTGTGCCACCAGGGAAGTCCCAGGATGATAGGTTTTGAATTTTTATGCCATAGGAAGAGAAACTGGAAAGTTAGATATTGCTCTTGTAAAATATTGGTGGACTCAGTATTGGGAATAATTGCACGGGAAACCCTTTAGAGTGTGGATTAACTATTCCCAATTTTTGCTGATTATTCAATCAGTTGGGCTGTCTCCTACCCTTACCTCCTCTGATTGCAAGGAACACACTCTTAATAAGAGAGAGAGAAGCATTTAATGAGGCTGTCTGATAGCTCTAGAATAGAAAGTAGTGGATAAAGAACGGAATTTGAAGAGGAAGTCCATAGTTGTCTTGCCCATTATGAAAGTTTTCTACATTTCTTTTATTATGGTAAAGGTTTGAAATCCAGGGTGAACTACATCTCAAATCAATTTGTCCACTCTATGCATATGTATGTGTGTGTGTATGTATATTTCCCCTATTTTTACCTTTTAAATTATATCTTGTTTTATTTTCTATGCGTTTATCTTAGCAAGGACAGAGACTCACTTTTCTGTGTATCCTCTAAAGCACTTTCAGTAAACTTGTTGAATGAATGAATGATCTGGTAATTATCCAATATAAAGAGATTCTTCTGGAGTTTATGACCTTTTCCAAAATCCAATGTTTTTTTTTTTTTTTTTTTTTGCGGTACGCGGGCCTTTCACTGTTGTGGCCTCTCCCGTTGCAGAGCACAGGCTCTGGACGCGCAGGCTCAGTGGCCATGGCTCATGGGCCCAGACGCTCCGCGGCATGTGGGATCTTCTCGGACCGGGGCACGAACCTGCGTCCCCTGCATCGGCAGGCGGACTCTAAACCACTGCGCCACCAGGGAAGCCCCAGTGATTCTTTTAGTTTGGGGTTATTGGTCCTCTTTAGAGAATTGATTTTAGGCACATTCTGCAATTAACAGATGAAAAATATCACTCCTTTAGTATGTTAATTCTAAGAGTTTAGCTGTGATGAGTCCAAATTCAAATTTGAGGGGACTTAATACATTGTTGTGGCATTGAAATGTGGTATGTAGTGTGAAGTGCTCATACATTTTTCTTGTTATTTTTTCTTATTACAAAGGTAGTAAGTACTCACGGTAAAAATTAAAACAGTACAGAAATGTATAAGGCAGAAAGTGAAAGCTCTTCTGTAATCCCATCCTCCGGAAGTAACCTTTGATAAACATTTTGGTAATAGTGTCTCAGACATTTTTCTGTGCATATAGTACCAGCATTTATGTATTTCTATAAAAATCACTTCTTACTGTACCACTCTTACACAATTGCCTTTATTGCTTAACAGTATGTATGTATTGGACATTTTCTTATTGGTTTCTCATTTTAAGTGGCCACATAGTATTTATTTGAGTAGTTACTATAATTTATTTTACCAGCTCTCTATTGGTGGATATTGGGGTTGTTTATAGTTTATTGTATTATAAATAATGTTACATAAGTTAGTCTGGTACATATATCATGCACTTACATGACTATTTTATAAATTCCTATAGGTGGAATTGCTGTGTCCAAGGGTATGCATTTAAAAGTTTTTTTGTGTCAGTTTGCTCTACTGAAAGATTATATCAACATACATTGTTTCTAGCACTGTGGGGGAGGGTTCTTTCCTCTGCATCCTCACTAACAACAAATACTCATTACTTCAAGAAATATTAAGTTCTAACTACTTGGTCAAGCACTAGGGCTAGAGTGGTGAGCAAGATAGTGGAAGCCCTAAGTTATTTTCTTAATTTACATTTCTTCAATTAGTGAAGTTGAACTTCTGATGCCTGTTGGTCATTGTTCTTGTGAAATTGAAGAATTGACTTAAAAATTGTCTGTTGTTTCTTTTTGCCCGTTTTATTTTTTTTGATTTTCTCATTTAAATGAGCTCTTTATATATCAGAGCCATATGTCATGTGCTGTGAATACTTTTTTTCGTTTTGTTGTAACTCTTTGTTTATAGTGTTTTCAAGCTTAGAGTTCTTGCCTTTTTAAAAAAATTCTAAAATTTTTGTTGAGGTATAACATAAAGTAAAGCACAAAAGTCTGAGGTGTGCAGCATGATTACTTTTTGCATTATATATACATAACCATCACTCAGAACAAGATATAGTATATTTCCAATACCTTGGAAGGTAGAGAAGCTGTCTTTTGATTGAAATAAACTTTATTTCTTAGCAGACATGATTAAATGACTGGTTTATTCTCACTTAAATCCTGGCATTGCATTTACTCTCTTTTTGAGAAGAAATTCAACCTCATTAATTGAATTTCTGTATGTACTGTCCTAAAAGTTTTCAAGTGGGGGAATGTAAAAGTAGTGGTGAGCAACTTGGTGTGTGTGTATTTATTCTGTATTTTATAATATCTGATATACAGGTGTTGTCTTTTAATAGCTGACAAATTTGGGTGTATATTATTCTCATTAGCTGACTCTTAAAAGGTCAAGTTTAGTGGTTAAGAGGATGGGCTCTGGAGTCAGACTTGTCTGGATGCGGATCCTTGCTGCACTGCCTACCAGCTATATGCCTTTGAGCAAGTTACCATACGCCTCAGTTTTCTCATCTCTTTGGGGTCAATAATAGTGCCTACCTCATAGAGTAGTTAGTAGGATATAGGTGAATTAATTTACAAAGTGTCTGCATATAGCAAGCAAATAAGTATTAGCTAGCATTATTATTGTTCTTTTAAAATGGAGAAAATCTTATACTCTTACCTGGAATTCCTCTGGGAAACTGCCTTTGATGGGAAAATAGTTTGATAAGCTAGCTTGGTATATGATTCCATGAGGAGCTATGAGTATTTACATGGTTGATTGGACAAAAAGGAGGTTGAAATTTATCTCTTGTGGTCTTTCACTTAACAGATATTATCTTGCCTTGTAAGCCATTGTTTGTATATCATATTTTAGTTAGATTCTTTCAAATATATTTTTAGCCTCTTGAAAGCAAAGTTGTAGGCTTAAAATCTTAAGTGTTGTCTCTGAGTTGTCCTTCTCCTTTTCCCCTGTGTCCAATCAGTTATAAAGTCCCGTTAATTTTTATAGTGGTACTATTTTTTCTTCCCCTATAAATATATATTGTCATCATAAAGTTAAAAGAGGACAGGGACTTCCCTGGTGGTGCAGTGGTTTAGAATCCACCTTCCAATGCAGGGGATGTGGGTTCGATCCCTGGCCTGGAAGATCCCACATTGCCACGGAGCAACTAAGCCTGTGCGCCACAACTAGTGAGCCTGCGTTCTAAAGCCCACGAGCCACAACTACTGGCCCACGTGCCACAACTACTGAGCCCATGCACCACAACTACTGAAGCCCGTGCGCCTAGAGCCCATGCTCCACAACAAGAGAAGCCAGCGCAATGAGAAGCCTGTGCACCGCAACGAAGAGTAGCCCTTGATCACCACAACTAGAGAAAAAAGCCTATGTGCAGCCACAAAGACCCAATGCAGCCAAAAAAAAAAAAAAATTGAAAGAGGACAGATTAAAGGAGAAAGTGATGGTTTCCCTATAACTCGGTGTTCAGAGATAATCCTGTTAACGTTTTGGTGTATATTCCATTAGAATTTTTTTCTCTGTATGCAAATACATATATGTATATTTACTGAAAACCTATTCGTTTTCCATGGTGAAAGCTGGGTTTCTTTATTTCTACTGCTAGTGCCTACTCTAAACTTTATTTCCTAATGCCTGTGTCATCATTATTGTTGTTTTAATATTTATTTGTTTATTTTATTCATTTATTTGGTTGTGCCGGGTCTTACTTAGTTGTGGCAGGCGGCCTCCTTAGTTGGGGCATGCATGTGGGCTCTAGTTCCCTGACGAGGGATTGAACCTGAGCCCATTGCATTGGGAGCACGGAGTCTTAACTACTGTGCCACCAGGGAAGTCCCTGCCTGTATTATTAAAATTTTCTCTTTAATAAAATTAACTTTTAATGTATCTATCCTTTCCTTTTAGTACCACCTACCTCTGGATTAACCTTTCCAAATATTTCTTAAACTCTGCATTTTTTTTCTAAAATCTGTAGTGTCACTCTCTTCTTAAAAATCTTTTGTGTCCCACATCACTTTATTTATATCTTTTAACTAAACTACTCAGTTTAGTGTTCAAAATGTGCTTTATGCCCCGATTTCTCACACATTTGTTCGTGCCCATTTTCCTCTGGTTTTTCTTTGTTTATCCTAAGGTCTAGTAGAATATATGTAGCAAGCTCCATATATAACTGCAACAAATATGAAGGAAGAGAATTGTTATTCTGAATTGAATTTGTGGAGAAAAATCTATTCTAGCAAAGTATAACAGATAACTGCAGGGATACAAATTAAGTGTTAGAATGCATGTCAGTTCTACTCAGTAAATAGATATTTCACTTTTATAAAATTATTTATTGCTTTCTTTAACTCCTAGTGAATTGTAGTTCATGCCATTGCCATCTTTGATTCATTGAAATATTCTGAAGGTTCTAGAGACGTTGTGCTTCAGGCTATGTTTATGTCCTATTGCTCTAATTTCTTGTTTAGTGTCTGAGTTTTCTGTCTGCTTGTGGATTGGCTTGACTTTTTTATTTTGGCTGTGCTTCGAGGCTTACAGTATCTTAGTTCCCCAACCAGGGATGGAACCCTGGTCCTGGCAGTGAGAGTGCCAAGTCCTAACCACTGGACCGCCAGGGAATTCCCTGGCTTGACTTTTTTTTTCCCCTCTAAGTACCTTCTACTTATAAGCTGTTGAATATAATACTATACTTTGAATTCTTTTTTAAAGATTTGTGCTCCTCTCCATATGTAAGTATAATTGAGGTAATTCGCATACAATAAATTTCCTCCTTTGGGTGTACAATTCACTGGTTCTTAGTATATTCAGAGTTGGGCAACCATCACCATGATCTAATTTCAGAGCATTTACATCACCCCAGAAAGAAACCCCTCATGCTTTAGCAGTCACTCCCATTCCTCTCTTCTCCCAGCCCCCGGCAACCACTAATCTACTTCTGTCTCCATGGATTTGCTGATTCTGGACATTTCAGTTTACTCCTTTAAAAAAAGTATATAGAGTGCTTTGATAAAACTTAATAATCTCATTTTAAATAGAAAGCTGTCTATTTACATCTAGTGGTTTCTTGAATAGGTAGCTTTTAATGAGAGTTTGTTGAAGGATTGGTTTTCAGAAGTGGACGTGGTTAATGGATAGGAGAGGAGAAGATATTTAAGTAGAGGAGGAGAAAGCATAAACAAGAGGTGACGAAGTTGAGGTAAGCAAAGAAGTTGGTTTAAGACTTAGTTCTTTTTTAGATCTACCTTACTCTAGAAATAAACAAATAATAAATGTGATTTATTTTCTCTTCATCCAGTCTGTGGCTCCAGCAGCCTTATTTTTAGCAGCCAAAGTAGAGGAGCAGCCCAAAAAATTGGAACACGTCATCAAGGTAGCACATGCTTGTCTCCATCCACAGGAATCACTTCCTGATACTAGGAGTGAGGTAGGGGATTAATTACACACATCTGTTTTTCTTAATTTATTTTGATCATAACTTAGTTTTTTAACTTTGATTTACTGAAGTCTGAATTGGGGCTGTTAAAGGAACTTTTAGTGTTTGTTTTTTCCTTAACAAAAACATCACAGAAATTTATGGCAAAAGTTAATTGTATTCATTCTGGTAAAATTGGAAAATGCAGAAAAAGAAGAAAATACGTTACCTAGATGTAATTTGTACCACAGATATATAAATGAACCAGTATTTCCAGCTTCTTTTCTATGAGTAGCTACACATGTATATATTTTATACCTGCTTTTTTCACTTACTGTATGCCAAATATTTTCCCATCAATTCTCTGCTTCCTTTAAATATTGATATCGTATTTTGTCATATACATACTATATTTTAACCATTTTCTCTTAAGATAATTTCCAGCTTTTAACCACTATAATATCACTATGAAGAAAATTCTTTTAGATTTTTTGTTAATGAATTCTTTTTAAGTGAATCTTGTCACTGGTGCATGTGTGCTTAACTTTTTAAGAAATTACAAGTATGCTCATTATAAAAGAACCCAAACACTAAAGAATCATTTAAAGTCAAAGGTAAAGCTCATCTCCCCTCCTTCTCCTAGGAGGATACTGCTGATTCCAGTTCAGATATATATTCTTCCACACCTTTATCCTATGTGTATACATATAGCTTTTTTTCCCTTTCCATCCTTCCTTGACCTTCTAAAGAAGGGGAACTCTCCTGGCTTTAGAAATCAGTGATTGGGGAATGATGAGTTTGGAGAAAAATTATGGATTTCTGTTACTAGATTATTTGTCTGTTACAGTGGGTGCATGAGTCATCCATTATCAAATTAAGTGGAATTGTGTGTTCTTCTGATCATATTGGGCAAAGTGGTTGTGGGGACGGTTTGTTTTGATAATAGCCCCTTATTATGTAAATTAAGTATTTTGCATAGTAGTGTCTTGACTTACTTTGTTTTCTCTTTGGGCTGCACCAGTAGTTTTGTTGAAGAGCTGTTGGTCTGGACTTTTATTTACGTTAGAGACTACTAACTGCCACTGGTCTATAGAATTGACCAAATAAAATTTTATTTTAACAAAATAAAACAAAAAATAAAATCCCTACTTTATTTTTTTTTCTTTCAAGTATATTTACATGACTTCTCACCTGAGCCTCTCTTATCAGGTGACTAGGAGAATATACTTTCTTCACTATATGGAAAGGGGAACTAGCATAGTTTAAGTCCTTACTGGACTTATTCAAGATCATAAAGTTCAGTGGAAAGTTAGCAGCAACATAAGTCTCTTAACTCCTGGCTCAAATCTCATTCTCCTAGAGTTCTAGACCAGTGCTGTCCAATAGAAATATAGGGGAAGTCACATACGTAATTAAATATTTTAAACTTTTCATTAAACTTTATATAAAAATCTTTACTTAAAAAAATTAAGATTAATTTTAATATGTTATATTTTATATATTATTTTCTTTAACCCCAAAATATAGTCATTTCAGCATATAATCAATTTTAAACCATTATTAATGAAGTGGTTTACATTATTATTTCTTAACTAAGTCTTCACAATTCAGTGTGTATTCTACACTCATAACACATTTCAAGTGCTCGATAGCCATGTGTGAATAGTGGCTACAGTAATGGCCAGTACAAATCTGAAAGAATTTTTTGTTTGTTCCCTTTTCCTTTGAACCCATTTATGAATTTTAAAAATCTAGCATTACTCCAAAAGGAAGTTTTAACAGGAGTCAAATGTTTGAGATTGCCTATTGCCTGTAGGATTCTGTCTACATCATATGAACTTTAGAACCTAAAATGTCAGTCTGAAAATGAACTAGATCTCTGGTGCTTTTTCTGTAGCCATTTATAAATAAAGTGACATCTCTCACTATACCACTTTTTTTTTTTTTTTTAAGGAGAATCTGTTAGGAATAAGGGTTAATTTCAGTTCCTACTCTCCCTCATAACCCCACCCTTGCCTTTTGAGGCTTTGATTTCCCTTGGAGGTTGTTAGAATTTGCCTACACTTTATATATTATATATTGTATCTTTTTGGGGAATAATTTGTCTTCTTACCTGCAGGCTTACCTGCAACAAGTTCAAGATCTGGTGATATTAGAAAGCATAATTCTGCAGACTTTAGGTAAGTTTATTTTCCTTTAAAACATTAAAGAAATATGTACATAATGTAATGATTTTAATATTTGCAAAATAGGAAATAGGAAGAGAATTTCTTGGGAAGGTTTTTGCACATTTTAGAGGTCATTTAACCCTGGCCTATACCACAGAGAGAATGCAGGCACGGCTGACCTTTGAAGTAGCAGTTAGCAGGGGTTTTTTGTTTGTTTGTTTTATATTCTAGGATTCATGATTTGCTTGTTAAGATTTGGCAGTTTTTAACTTTCTGATAAATAATGGCAGAAACTATCTAAACAACTTTTTTTCCTTCCATGGATTTTTATAGTCTGCTTGTCATTATATTTAGATAACAGCATTTGTTTTTAAAATTGATAATCAGTGTTCAGAACAGTGGAGTGGAGGTGGAGGAATTCAAGCTATAGCAGTTGATGGGCTAAAGATCTGATGATGTTCTGCTATTATCTATTATTTTCATCAAAGAGACTGCCTTTAAAAGCTTAGCAAATACGGAAAATAAAGATTTTCTAGTTCTTTTGGGCTATCATTTTTCTCTTTAGGTAGGGGAGTATTTCATGAGTTATGTTGGAAAGTTACTGGTAGGGCTGTATTTTTGCATGTACAAAACATACAGTGAATTCTTCAAAGTTTGTCTCTGAAGTCAGTTTCTGCGAATTTTTACTTTAAATTAGTTTTCTTCAAGGTAACCATATTTTAGGGGACAATGATATTTTTCTGGTGGAGTAAATTTTTATTAATATTTTAATGTGGAAACCAGTAAGATCTAATTAGCAAGAATCAATTATACTTTTAGAATAATTTGCATCAAGTAAATTTCTCAATAGAATTTTTTTTCTTTTTTTTTTTTTTTTTAATCAGTTTGTCTCAGACTTTATTTTTATTTTTTAAATTTTTTGGCTGCGGCACACAACTTGTGGGATTTTAGTTCCCCGACCAGGGATTGAACCCAGGCCCTCTGTAGTGAAAGTGCGAAGTCCTAACCACTGGACCACCAGGGAATTCCCTAGAATTTCCTTGTACTGGAAAATTTTATTTGCATACTCAAAAAGAGAAATTTCATTGAAAATTTTAATTTATGTACTCAAAAAGAGAAACTTCATTGAAAATTTTTGTAGACATACCGATCTTCCTTAAGTAATTTTGGTAAAGATCATTTAGAGTTAGATAAAATGATCAGTACTTACAGTAATTGAGATGATGAAAAGAGACAAAACTGAGGTAAGAGAGGAATAGGTTTCAAAATGTTTTCTCAAGGTTAAGCTTTCGAAGATAATTATTACATGAGTAATTGCTTCTTCCAACCATGTATTATATTCTATTGTCCCTAAGAAAATGTTTTGTGTTTAGAAGTTTTTGGTAGCTCAGGGATCTTGAGACTGCATTAGCTTTATTATCTGAGTGGTGCCTTCTAGCTCAAAACATTAGCACCTTTGAAGATAATCTTAAAGAAGAGTGTGCTCCATACTTTGACTCTCTTAGCCTCTAAACAGGCAGGTTTGGGACCAGAAAATGAGGGAGGCCTTCAATGATGACTCAGATAAAAGAAATATAAAATATTTTGAGTATCTTTAGCTTTTTAACCAGTTACCTTTTTTTTTTTAGGCTTTGAACTAACAATTGATCACCCACATACACATGTGGTAAAGTGCACTCAACTTGTTCGAGGTAAGGAATCCCAACTTGAGATGCTGTCTTAAATTGTTTTACCATTTAGAGGCTAAGATTTGCTCTGGACAAATACAGAACACAGCTGCTTTGGCCAAAATTTAAATTAAAAAACCTACCTGGCTTAAATCAAAATGAGTGGTTGGAGTTTTTCTGTTGGGTTCTTATAATGTTTTTAGGTGATCTCCAGATAAAGAGAGTTAGTTTCTTATGGATGTTTGTCAAAGCTGGGGGCAGATTTTGAAAAGTCACCAAATCATAAGTATCTAACAGCAATTTTAAGGATGTCTTGGGGGTTAATTTGATTCTAGGGTTGATTGTCCTAGGCACTCTTAAGGCCACCCAGAGGGTCATCTAGAATTTATTTGAACTTATTTTCATCTTTGTTAATTCCCTGGCAGGACTTGTTTTTTTTGTTTGTTTGTTTGTTTATTTTGTGGTACGCGGGCCTCTCACTATTGTGGCCTCTCCCGTTGTGGAGCACAGGCTCTGGACGCGCAGGCTCAGCGGCCATGGCTCACAGGCCCAGCCGGTCCACGGCACGTGGGATCTTCCCGGACCGGGGCACGAACCCGTGTCCCCTGCATCGGCAGGCGGACTCTCAACCACTGCGCCACCAGGGAAGCCCAGGACTTGGTTTTTATTCCGATTTAACTTTAGTAGCTGTAATTGCACAAAACCTAGTTCTTATATATTTAAATATATTTAAATAGTAGTATCAAGGCTATCTAGACACCACTGTGCGTTTAAATGCCATTTTTCGTTTTGTAGACTTAACTGATTGACAATTGGCCTTATTTGTGTGTTTCATCTGAAAACTCAGTTTTCCCTGAGTTCTTATATTTTGAAAGCATTAAAAGGTTTACACTAACAGATGGATAAATGCTAATATTTAATCTAAGGAAGGTTAAAATTTGCTTTGTTACCCAGAGCATTTTTTTTTTTGAAGGAGGAATTTTTATGTTTGTTTATTTATTTATTTTATTTTTTTGGCTGCATTGGGTCTTTGTTGCTGTGTGCGGGCTTTCTCTAGTTGCGGTGAGCGAGGGCTACTCTTCGTTGCAGTGTGTGGGCTTCTCATTGTGGTAGCTTCTCTTGTTGCAGAGCACGGGCTCTAGGTGGCCGGGCTTCAGGAATTGTGGCTCGCGGGCTCTGGACCGCAGGCTCAGTAGCTGTGGCGCGTGGGCTTAGTTGCTCCGCGGCATGTGGGAACTTCCCAGACCAGGGCTCGAATCCGTGTCCCCTGCATCGGCAGGCGATTCTTAACCACTGCGCCACCAGGGAAGCCTGAAGGAGGAATTTTTAAAATTGTAATATATATGAATAATTTATGTTATTTGCTAATTTTTTCCAGATATAGCAAGGTCTTCTGGATTCTGATCTTGCCTCCAAATTAGTTCATCCCCTAGCTTAGAATTTCTCAGTGAACCCTTGTATCAGGATCTCTGAGTTACTAACAAGTAAAAATGTTTGTTACATTCTTCTCCAAATGTGTTGAGTCAAACTCTAGGGAGGATGCCCAGGAATTGCATTTTAAACATGTACCCCTTATACCTGGTGTGCAGAATAAAGCTTAGGTCCCTAAGTTGGGAAGCAGCCTAATTATTAATATTATAATTAAAAATCACTCAAACTGTTTTCTTTGACAGTAGAATGTAAACATCAGGTGGTCAGGGACCATGCCTGCCTCATTTACCACTATATTCTCTGCCTTGCAAATATTACATGCTTACTAAATAATTGTTTAGAATGAATGGAACTAATAACCTTCTCCCCCTCCCCACTTTCTTTTTTTTAGCAAGCAAGGACTTAGCACAGACTTCTTACTTCATGGCAACCAACAGGTTTATATTTTAATATTTTTCTCTTCTGTTTTTGGGATAGTACTTTACTTGCATTAGAATTGTCACTTTTTGATGGGTATATGGAAAGATGACAGGTCTTGCACTTAGTAAACTAGAAGCCAAAGACCTAGGCAAGGATCTCTGATTCAATGTGTTATAGACAATTCTATGGTAAAGGTTGATTTTTCTGCAGTTTTCATGTGTACCTTAAAATTTCCATGCTGCTCTTTTAATTTGTTAAAGTGATATATTTATTTATTGCTGATCGTTTGATAGCCTACTTAATTCTGCATTTGTTACTTTGCTTTAACATATCCAAGAGCATAATTCTGAAAGTTTGTTTAAACTTGGGGTTCATTGACAGTGACTAAAATCTAATTTGGAGGATTCTGCTGTTACTATATTTTAAGACTCTTTTTTTCTTCACCCACGCCCAGATAAATGGGCATGTATATGTGTAAAGAGTTACGATACTTTTTCTTTCTCCTTCCTTTTTTAAAGAAAAAAATTAATACATAACTTGTATTACCAAATGACTTGCTTATTCTCATCTCCAGTCTACTGGTTGTCCATGGAAACCAAAGATACTCCTAATGACTGTCAGGGCTAAGAAGTTCATTTTTATAGCCTGGTGGGAGAAATTTTAAAAGTAAACTGTCAGGTATATTGACACTTGAGAGAATGATTGTCTATTCATTATTTTAAAGAGACCAGACCTATGATTGGCATGAGACAAGATAATTTTTAGAATATTTCCTTAGGTATTTGATTTAGGGATTATACATATCAAAAATCTTATAATTTTCCTTGAGTTCTGAGCTTATTCTCAGGATAATTAATCCTTATTTTAAAAAACTGAATGCTCAGTCTTTTATTTTTGTTTTTATTTTTTCCAGTCCTTCATTAGTGTGTGGATTAAATGATGTGTAGTCAGAAAAATTAGAAAAGTTGTTACCTGAGCCGGTGGGTTAATGGAAAAAATCATGTTGGGTGCTGGGTCAGAGCACTGGATATTTCTTGCCCTTCTTGCTCTCCAGTGGGTTTTTTATTTTTTTAACTCTTTTTTTTTTTAACTTTTTTTTTAAAGTAATGGAGAGTTTTAACTTTGGGTTCAGAATTGAGAGCTCACGACACTCTCTTGTTTCCTTCCCTCTGATGTCAGCCTGCATTTGACCACATTTAGCCTGCAGTACACACCTCCTGTGGTGGCCTGTGTCTGCATTCATCTGGCTTGCAAGTGGTCCAACTGGGAGATCCCAGTCTCAACTGATGGGAAGCACTGGTGGGAGTATGTTGACGCCACTGTGACCTTGGAACTTTTAGATGGTAAGTTTTAGAGTAAGGGACCTTGAATAGCACTTGCTCTTGATCTGTCACATATCTGGCCAAAGGTGACTTGATTTCAGATGAATATAGTTAGTTGAGGTTATTCTTATTTCTTTACTTCTGCCTCTCTGAGTTTTTCTTAAATGTTCTAATTTCATTTGTAGAACTGACACATGAATTTCTACAGATTCTGGAGAAAACCCCCAACAGGCTCAAACGAATTCGGAATTGGAGGGTAAGAATTATTGCTGTCAGTTTGTGGAACAAACCATTTTCTTCTTTTGACCACACCAGTGAAAATACCAGATATGGATATGTACCCTCGGTTTGGAATTTCCCTTTTTGTAGTTATGCAATAGTCATAATTTCAACTTCATGGCTTGGCTTCTGGCCCAGAAATCCATTGCTGTAGGCGACAGTGAGATTTATTTGGTGTTTTGCAACTCTTGTGATTTAGTCATTTGGTCAGCAACATTGGTTATTTTTTTGTGTGGAGAGTGTTAAGGGGAAAAATTTGGCTTTTCTGAGTCACAGAATGTTGGCTTCTGGTATAGGAAAGATTCAGAGTTAGGAGATTAGAACTGGTATTATAATTTTGTCTTTGACATTACCTGCTTTTAAATGGATTTTAGAATTTTGTTTTTATATAGATTGCAGTCTAAAGTTGTATTTCAGATATTTTTCAAAGTCTTATTTATGTATAGTGGAATTAGCACCATTTGTTGAGAAGACTGTCCTTTCCCCATTGAATGGTCTTGGCACCCTTGTCAAAAATCATTTGGCCATGTATGTGAAGGTTTATTTCTGGGCTTTCTATTCTGTTCCATTCATCTATATGTCTGTATGTCAGTACCCCACTGTTTTGATTACTGTGGCTTTGTGGTAAGTTTTGGAATCAGGAAGTGTGAGTCTTTCGGTTTTGTTCTTCATTTTCAAGATTGTTTTGACTATTCAGGGTCCTTTGAGATTCCATATGAATTCTAGGATTTTTTCTTTTTTTTAATTTATTTTGGCTGTGCAGGGTCTTAGTTGCAGCACACGGGATCTTTGTTGCGGCATGTAGGCTTCTTAGTTGCAGCATGTGGACTCTTAGTTGCAGCATGCAGACTCTTAGTTGTGGCATGTATGCGGGATCTAGTTCCCTGACCAGGGATCGAACCCGGGCCCCCTGCATTGGGAGTGCGGAGTCTTAACCACTGGACCACCAGGGAAGTCCCCCCACATTTTAACAATATTAATGTTTGAATTAATGTTTGGATCCAGAACATAGGTGAGTTTCCAGTTACGTTTTAATTTTTTTCAGCAGTGTTTTGCAGTTTTCATTGTACAAGTTTTTTACTTCCTTGGTTAATTCCCAAGTATTTTATTCTTTTTGGTGCTGTTGTAAATGGAATTGTTTTCATAATTTCCTTTTTAGATTGTTTATTCATGTAGAGAAATGTAACTGAATTTTATTTGTTGACTTTGTATCCTGTTACTTTGCACAATTCATTTATTAATTCTAATAAAATCAGAAAAAATAAATTCTTTTTGGTTGAGTCTTCAGAGTTTTCTACATATAAGTTCATGTCATCTGCAAACAGAGATAATTTTACTTCTTCTTTTCCAATTTGATGCTGTTTCTTTTTCTTGCCTGATTGCTGTGGCTAGAACTTCCAGTACAGTGTTGAATGGAAGTGGTGAAAGTGAACATCTTTTCCTTATTCCTGATCTTAAAGAAAACTTTCAGTCTTTCACCATTGAATATGATGTTCACTGTGGGTTTTTTATATGTGACTTTTATTATGTTGAGGTAGTTTCCTCTTTATGTTCCTAGTTTGTTGAGTGTTTTTATCATGAAAGTGTGTTGAATTTTGTCAAATGCTTTCTCTGCACAAATTGAGATGATCATGTGATTTATTTCCTTCATTCTGTTTGTGTGACATATTACATCAGTTGATTTCCATATGTTGAACCCTCCTTATATTCCAGGAATAAATTCCACTTGGTCATGCATGATATGTAATTTTTTTTAAATGCCACCAAATTCATCTTGCTAGTATTTTTGTTTGTTTTTTTTTTGTTGTTGTTGTTTTTGTTTTTTTGCGGTACGTGGGCCTCTCACTGTTGTGGCCTCTGCCGTTGCGGGGCACAGGCTCCGGACACACAGGCTCAGCAGCCATGGCTCACAGGCCCAGCCACTCCACGGCATGTGGGATCTTCCTGGACCGGGGCATGAACCCGTATCCCCTGCATCAGCAGGCGGACTCTCAACCACTGCGCCACCAGGGAAGCCCATCTTGCTAGTATTTTGTTGATGATTTTTGCATCTGTGGTTATAAGGGATATTGGCCTGTAGTTTTCCTTTCTTGTAGTGTTTTCTTCTAGCTTTGGTATCAGGGTAATGCTTGCCTCATAGAATGAGTTGAGAAGTGTTCCCTCCTCTTCAAATTTTTGGAAAGTTTGAAAAGGAGTGGCATTACTTTGTTAAATGATTGATAGGATTAACCAGTAAGTCTTTTTTTCCTTTGGAGATTTTTGATTACTGATTTAATTTTATTTATTTATTTTTAAAAATTTATTTATTTAGGGCTGTGTTGGGTCTTCATTGCTGCACACAGGCTTTCTCTAGTTGCGGGGAGCGGGGGCTACTCTTTGTTGCAGTGGGCAGGCTTCTCATTGCAGTGGCTTCTCTTGTTGCGGAGCACGGGCTCTAGGCGCGTGTGGGCTCAGTAGTTGTGGCTCGCGGGTTCTAGAGTGCAGGCTCAGTAGTTGTGGCACGTGGGCTTAGTTGCTCCGCAGCATGTGGGATCTTCCCGGACCAGGGCTCGAACCTGTGTCCCCTGCATTGGCAGGCGGATTCTTAACCACTGGGCCACCAGGGAAGTCCTGATTCAATTTTATTACTAGCTGTAAGTCTATTCAGATTTTCTGTTTCTTCATGATTTAGTCTTGATAGGTTTTGTGTTTCTAGGAATTTGTCCCTTTTGTCTGGGTTATTCAATTTGTTGATATACAGTTTGTTCTGTTAGAATAGTAGCAATGTCTCCACTTTTATTTCTGATTTTAGTAGCTTGAGTCTTCCCTCTTTTTTTCTTAGTCTGTCTAGCTAAAGATTTGTCAATTTTGTTGATGTTCTCAAGGAACCAATTTTTGTTTTTGTTTTTCTCTATTTTATCTCTGCTCTAATCTTTATTATATCTTTCCTTCTGCTAGCTTTGTGTTCAGTTCTTTTTCTAGTTCCTTAAGTTATAAAGTTAGTTTGTTATTTTGAGATGTTTCTTGGTTGTTTTTTTTTTTTTTTTTGGCCACACTGCCCAGCTTGTGGGATTTTTAGTTCCCCGACCAGGGATTGAACCCAGGCCCCCCAGGCAGTGAGCTCACGGAGTCCTAACCACTGGGCTGCTAGGGAATTCCCAGTTTCTTGTTTTTTTATTAAGTACGTTTTACTTTTAAAATTTTTATTTTTTTTGGCTACTCTGTGTGGCATACTGGATCTTAGTTCCTCAACCAGGGACTGAACTCATAGCTCCTGCATTGGGAGTGCAGAGTCTTAACCATTGGACCGCCAGGGAAGTCCCTGGTTTTTTTAATGTAGTGTTCATAGCTATAAATTTCTCCCTTAGCACCACTTTTGCTGCATACCTTACGTTTGATATGTTGTGTTTTGTTTTTCTTGGTCTCTAAGTATTTTCTAATTTCCCTTTTGATTTCTTTGATCCATTGGTTTAATTTCTACAATTTTGTGATTTTTTTTTTCCCCGATTTTCTTTCTGATACTGATTTCTAACTTTATCTTGTTGTGGTCAGAAAAAATACATGGTGTGATATGTATCTTTTAAAATCTATTGACTAAGTTTGCAGCCTAACATATGGTCTGTTCTGGATAATGTCCCATATGCACTTGAAGAATGTATGTGCTAATGTTTTTGGGGAGAGTGTTCTGTGTATGTCTGTAGATCTAGTTAGTTTATTAAGTCCTACTTCCTTATCTTCTGCTTGATCTATTATTGTGAGTGGGGTATTGAAGTCTCCAACTATTACTGTAAAGCTGTCTATTTCTCTTTAATTCTGTTAGGTTTTGGCCTCATATATTTTGGTGGCCTGTCATTAGGTGTGTAAATGTTTATAATTGCTATGTCTAATTTCTGTAGCTAGCCTTTTAAAATATATAATGCTCTTTTTTGTCTCTTGAAATCTTTTTTATTCAAGTCTATTTTGTCTGCTATTAGTATAGCCATGCATGCTCTCTTTTGGTTACTGTTTGCATTGTATACCTTTTTCCATCCTTTCACTTTCAGCCCATTTGGGTCTTTGGATCTCAGCCTCTTGTAGATAGCATATAGTTGGATCATATGTTTTTATCCATTCTACAAATCTCTGTCTCTTCCTTAAGAGTTTAATCCATTTACACTTAAAGTAATTACATATAAGGAGAGATTTACTTCTGTCACTTAATGCTATTTGATTTTTAGACAGGCACACCTTGTTTTATTGAACTTTGCAGATATTGCATTTTTTATATTGAAGGTTTGTGGCAGCCCTGCGTCAAGCAAGTCTGTTGACGCCATTTTCCCAACAGTATTTGCTTACTTCGTGTCTCTGTTACACATTGGTAATTATGGCAGTATGCTGAACTTTTTCATTATCATTGTATCTGTTATGGTGATATGTGATCAGTAATCTTTAGTATTACTAATACAGCTCACTGAAGGCTCAAATGATGGTTAGCATTTTTTAGCAATAAGGTATTTTAAATTAAGTTATGTCCATTTTTCTTTAGACATAATGCTATTGCACATTTAATAGACTGTAGTGTAAACACAGTTTTTTTTTTTTGCGGTACGTGGGCCTCTCACTGCTGTGGCCTCTCCCGTTGCGGAGCACAGGCTCCGGACGCGCAGGCTTAGCGGCCGTGGCTCATGGGCCCAGCCGCTCTGCGGCATGTGGGATCTTCCCGGACCGGGTCACAAACCCGCATCCCCTGCATCGGCAGGCAGACTCTCAACCACTGCGCCACCAGGGAAGCCCTAAACACAATTTTTATATGCACTGGGAAACCAAAACATTTGTGTGGCTCACTTTATTGTGATATTTGCTTTATTGAGATGGTCTGGAACGGAACCCACAGTATCTCCAAGGCATGCTTACTGTATGCCTTACGGCTTTTTTGTCCCTCATTTCCTATATTATACTGTCTTTTGTGCTTAGTTGATTTTTCATAGTGAAAAATTTTAGATTCCTTTTTCATTCATTTTTTGTATTAACATACAAAATTTGTCTCCTTTACAGCTGCATCCTTATCCCTTTTGGTTGTTGATGTTACAAAATTAAGTAATTGTGTGCCCCCCGAAAACTAATAATTCTTTTAGATGCATTAGGCTCTTATACTATATAAAAAATAAGATTTGGAATTATAAGACAAAGTTATAGTAATACTAGGTTTTACACTAATTTTTTTTTCCCCTGAGAATGTGTTAGTCTCCTAAATCATGTAGAAAGCAAAATGTGCAATTACAAACCGTTGTTACAATACCAGCTTTTATAATTGCCCATGTATTTACTTTTATTGAGGTCTTTATTTCTCCATATGGCTTGAAGTTACTGTCTTGGAGGACTCCCTTGAGCCTTTCTTGTATGGCTGGTCTAGTGGTCACGAATCCCCTCAGCTTTTTTTTTTTTTTTTTTTGCGGTACACAGGCCTCTCACTGTTGTGGCCTCTCCTGTTGCAGAGCACGGGCTCCAGACGCGCAGGCTCAGCGGCCATGGCTCACGGGCCCAACTGCTCTGTGGCATGTGGGATCCTCCCGGACCGGGGCACGAACCCGTGTCCCCTGCATCAGCAGGCGACTCTCAACCACTGCGCCACCAGGGAAGCCCCCCTCAGCTATTGTTTACCTGGAGATAATTAATTTCTCCTTCACTTTTTTGAAGGACATTCTTACTGGATATAGGATGCTTGGCCGACAGTTTTTTTCTTTTAGTACTTGGGATCTATCAGCTCACTATCTGGCCTCCAAAGTTTCTGTTGAGAAATCTCATGATCTTATTGAGGATCCCTTGTATGTGACAGTTTGCTTCTTGCTGCTTTCAAAATTCTGTCTTTGGCTTTTGAAAGTTTGAGTATGATATGTCTTTTTTTTTTTTTAATACCATGATTTTAAGAATTGAGGTATAGTTGATGTACAATATTATATAAATTTCAGGTGTATAACAAAACGATTCACAATTTTTAAAGGTTATATTCCATTTATACTTATTATAAAGTATTGGCTATATTCCCTGTGTTGTACTATATATCCTCGTAGCTTATTTATTTTATACATAGTAGTTTGCACCTCTTAATCCCCTACCCTTATCTTGCCCCTTCCCCCTTCCCTCTCCCCGCTGGTAACCACTAGTTTGTTGCCTATATCTGTGAGTCTGTATCTATTTTGTTATATTCATTAATTTTATTTTTTAAATTCCACATATAAGTGGTAACATACAGTATTTTAGCCTAATACCCTCCAAGTTCATCTATGTTGTTGCAAATGGCAAAATTTCCTTCTTTTTTATGACTGAGTTGTATTCCATCGTATATATACCACATCTTCTTTACCCATTCATCTGTTTGTTTTTTTTTTTAATTGAAGTATAGTTGGGGAGTTACCTGGTGGTCTAGTGGTTAGGATTTGGCACTTTCACTGCCACGGCCTGGGTTCAATCCCTGGTCGGGGAACAGATCCTGCAAGCTGTGTGGTGTGGCAAAAAAAAGAAAAAAAAATAGAAGTGTAGTTGATTTACAATGTTGTGTTAATTTCTGCTGTACATCAAAGTGGTTCATTTATACATATATATACATTCTTTTTCATATTCTTTTACATTATAGTTTATCAGAGGATATTGAATATAGTTCCTTGTGCTATATAGTAGAACCTTGTTGTTTATCAATTCTATATATAATAGTTTACATCTGCTAACCCCAAACTCCCACTCCATCCCTCCCTCATCCCCCTCCCCCTTGGCAACCCTAAGTCTGTTCTTTATGTCTGTGAGTCTGTTTCTGTTTCGTAGATAAGTTCATTTGTGTCATATTTTAGATTCCACATATAAATGATACCATATGATATTTGTCTTTGTCTGACTTTAACTTCACTTAGTATGATAATCTCTAGGTCCATCCATGTTGCTGCAAATGACATTATTTTGTTCTTTTTTAATGGCTGAGTAGTATTCCATTGTATATATGTACCACATCGTCTTATCCATTCATCTGTCAATGGACATTTAGGTTGTTTCCACATTTTGGCTGTTGTGCATAGTGCTGCTATGAACATTGGGGTGCATGTATCTTTTTGAACTATAGTTTTGTCCGGATGTATGCCCAGGAGTGGGATTGCTGGATGATATGGCAACTCTATTTTTAGCTTTTTGAGGAACCTCCATACTGCTTTCCATAGTGGCTGCACCATCTTACATTCCCACCAACAGTATAGGAGGGTTCCCTTTTCTCCATACCCTTTCTAGCATTTGTTATTTGTAGACTTTTTAATGATGGCCATTCTGACTGGTATGAGGTGGTACCTCTTTGTAGTTTTATTTGCATTTCTTTGATAAGTAGTGATGTTGAGCATCTTTTCATGTACCTGTTGGCCATCTGTATATCTTCTTTGGAGAAATGTGTATTTAGGTCTTCTTCCCACGTTTGGATTGGGTGGTTTGTTTTTTTTGTTGTTGAGTTGTATGAGCTGTTTTTATATTTTGGAAATTAAGCCCTTATCAGTCACATGATTTGCAAATATTTTCTCCTTGTCCATAGGTTATCTTTTCGTTTTGTTTACTGTTTCCTTTGCTATGCAAAAGCTTGTATTTGATTAGGTCCATTTGTTTATTTTTGCTTTTATTTCTATTGCCTTGGGAGACTGACCTAAGAAAACCTTGGTACATTTATGTCAGAGGATGTTTTGCTTATGTTCTCATCTAGGAGTTTTATGGTGTCATGTCTTATGTTTAAGTCTTTAAGCCATTTTGAGTTTATTTTTGTGTATGGTGTGAGGGTGTGTTCTAACTTCATTGAATTACATGTGGCTATCCAACTTTCCCAACACCACTTGTTGAAGAGACTGTATATTCTTGCCTCCTTTGCCAAAGATTAATTGACTGTAGGCATGTGTGTTTATTTATGGGCTCTCTGTTCTGTTCCATTGATCCAGATGTCTGATTTTGTGCCAGTACCACACTGATTACTGATAGCTTTGTAGTACTCTCTGAAGTCTGGGAGGGTTAAGTATGGTATGTCTTGATGTGAGTCTCTTTGAGTTCATCCTGGAATTCACTGAGCTTCTTGGATATCTATGTTCATGTTTTTTCATCAGATTTGCAGAGTTCTGAGCTGCTGTATCTTCACATATTCTCTGCCTCTCTCTCTTTCTTTTCATTTTCTGGAATTCCCACAATGCATACATTGGTCTATTTGATGGTGTCCCATAGGTCCCTTAGGCTCTGTTCACTTGCTTCAGTCTTTTTTCTTTCTGTTCCTCAGACTTGATAATTTCCATTGTCCTATTTTCAAGTTTGCTGATTCTTCTGCCTGTTCAGATCTGCCTTTGAATCCCTCCAGTGCATCTTTCATTTCAGTTATTGTACTTTTCAGCTCCAGGATTTCTTTCTGGTTTCTTTTAAAGTTTTTAATCTCTTTTTTGATACTTTAATTTTGTTCACATGTTGTTTTCTTGACTTTTTGACATTTTCATTTCCTTGAGTATCTTTAAGGCAGTTAATGTCTTTGCCTAGTAGATCTGCCATTGGGTCTTTTTCAGGGACAATTTCTGTTGATTTTTTTTCTTCCTTTGAATGGGCTATACTTTCGTGTTTCTTTATGTGCCTTGTGATTTTTTTGTTGAAGACTGGACATTTGAATCTAATAACATGGTAACTCTGGAAATCAGATTCTCTCCCTTTCCTGGGGTTTGCTGGGATTTTTTTTTTTTTTTTTGTATATTTGGGGTGGGGGCTTGATTTTGAAGGATATTTCTGTGCTGAGGATCAGCTTGATGTATAAAATTAATGTCTTCTCAGTTCTTATCTGAGCCTTTTCCTGGACATTTCTGTAGGGACAGTGTTTTTTTTAATGTTCTACTCTAATATCTGGCTCCCAAAGGGAGAAAAAGCAAAAAATGAAGTGGGGGAGGAAGGGGGCTGGCCCTTTATATCCAGGGAAGTCACTTCAGCCAGAGGGGGAGGGGATTACAACAATGGAGGGAGGTGCAACAACAATGGCTACCTTTCTCTTTGTACCTCTGTGATTGAAAGCAGCAGTCAGCGATCAGACCACAGATCTCCAATATTTGGAAAATAGAGCTCTTTTTGCCTAACCAGGGTCCCCCAAGCTGTGTGCAAGTGACTCCAGGAACAGCTGCACAGCTGACTGGGGCTGAGAGCTGAAATTGAGGGAAATTAACTTCAGTTTATTGTCCAGGGCTTACCCTGGCAGCTGCAAGCCTTCAACAGACTGCAAAGTTCCAAAATAGTTATGTCAGACAGATTCTGCCTTTGCAGTTGTTGTCTAGGTGGGACAGATTCCTGGTGCTTCCTACTCTGCTGTCTTCACAGAATCTTCCTCCTTTTTTAAGGCTAAATGGTATTTCATTGTATATATAGACCACATTTTTAAAAATACATTCATTTATTGATGGACACTTGGGTTGCTTTCATACCTTAGGTATTGTGAAAAGTGCTGCAACAAACATGGGAGTTCAGATACCTCTTTGAGATCTTGTGATGCTTGATTGAAGGTTTAAAAAATCGTATCTCTCCTGATGGTAATAATTATCAGTCTCATGTTAGAGTAACCTCCTGGTTATGGGCTATCCCAAACTCCCAATGTCACAGCAAACACAGTCTACTCATTTCAGTGTTTTTTTTCCATTTGATAAATTACCTGAAGTGAAAAGATGCTATTTGCTTCATTCTAGGCATGCCAGGCTGCCAAGAAAACAAAAACGGATGACCGAGGAGCAGATGAAAACACTTCGGAGCAGACAATCCTTAATATGATTTCCCAGAGCTCTTCAGATACCACTATTGCAGGTTTAATGAGTATGTCAGCTTCTTCTGCCACAAGTGCAGTGCCTTCCCTTCCAGCCACTGAAGAGTCAACCAGTAACTTAAGCAATGTGGAGATGTTGCCGAGTGAGTGTTGGCTGTCCTCCCACCCTCCTTTTAAGGTAGAACCTGCTCAGGGTCATCGGACTAGTGAGAATTTAGCACTTATAGGAGTTGATCATTCCTTGCAACAGGATGGTTCAAATGCATTTGTTTCCCAGAAGCAGAATAGTAAGAGTGTGCCATCAGCTAAAGTATCACTGAAAGAGTACCGTGCAAAGCATGCAGAAGAGTTGGCTGCCCAGAAGAGGCAACTGGAGAACATGGAGGCCAATGTGAAGTCACAGTATGCCTTCGCTGCCCAGAATCTTCTGTCTCACCATGATAGCCATTCTTTCATCCTTCTGAAAATTCCCTTAGAGGGCTCAGAAAACCCTGAGCGGCCTTTTCTGGAAAAGACTGACAAAACAGCTCTCAAAATGAGAATCCCAATGACAAGTGGAGATAAAGCTGCCACTTCAAAACCAGAGGAGATAAAAATGCGCATCAAAGTTCACACTGCAGCTGACAAGCACAATTCTGTGGATGACAGTGTCACAAAGAGCCGTGAGCACAAAGAAAAGCACAAGACTCACCCATCTAATCATCACCATCATCATAATCACCACTCACACAAACACTCTCACTCCCAGCTTCCAGCTAGTACTGGGAGCAAACGTCCAGGTGATCCAAAACATAGTAGCCAGACAAGCACCTTAGCACACAAGCCCTATGGCTTATCTAGCTCTTTCTCCTCTTCCAGTTCTTCTCGTAAAAGGCCCTTCCCTGAAGAGACTGGAGGGGCAGTGTTTGATCATTCAGCTAAGACTGCCAAGAATACTAAATCCTCTTCCATAAATTTCTCCTTCCCTCCTCTTCCTACAATGGCCCAGTTGCCTGGGCATAGCTCAGACACAAGTGGCCTTACTTTTTCACAGCCCAGCTGTAAAACTCGAGTTCCTCACATGAAATTGGATAAAGGCTCCACTGGGGCCAATGGTCACAATGCAACCCAGACCATAGACTATCAAGATACTGTGAATATGCTTCACTCCCTTCTCCATGCCCAAGGTGTTCAGCCCACTCAGCCACCTGCGTTTGAATATGTTCATTCTTATGGAGAATATCTGAATCCACGGGCTGGTGGAATGTCCTCCAGACCTGGCAATACAGACAAACCCCGGCTACCACCTCTACCATCAGAACCTCCTCCACCACTTCCACCCCTTCCCAAGTAAAAAAGAAAAAGACAAGGAGAAGAAAACTTTAAAAACACATCTTTTTTTTTTTTTTTTAAACTACTGATTCTGGACTAAGAAAATTACTTCCCTTATGAAACATGTCACCCTTGTTGGACTAGAAATAAATTTATATTGAGACATGGGAAGGTGGTAGAGGGCCTTGGTTATTATATCGCCTGCCTCAGAAATTTAACTATTTTATTATAGTTTTTACTGAGAGGTGAGAATGTGTTAAAGCTGTGAAGGATTCAGAATACTTTCTCTGTTCTTGGCCTCTCCACCTCCTAATTAGGTCGATTAGAGTTGATATCTTCCCTCTTCTTGCCAGGACTGAAGTATGGAGGGTTTGTTTTATCAAACAGTTGTGGATCCTTTTGGTGTTTAATATATCAGAAGAGAGGAAGTATTTAAATGTCAAAATCTTTTAAGAGACTTTAAAAAAATAATTTAAAGAAAGTAAGTTATCTGTTTAGTTTTTTTATATAATTGGGGAAGGGATAGGGATTTTGCTGTGTGTATGAGATACACGGCAGTGAGTCCTGGGGGGTGGGATTGGAGGGTGGGGGGTGTGTGTGTAGTGGGGATGGGAGGATAGGATTTTGGCCGTGAGTTCTGAGATCGGCTCTGGCCACTTGAAGTGTTTCGACCTTTAAGTGTGTATGTAAGTGTGGGTATGTGTGTTTTTAGTGCGTGTGTTTAAAAATCATGTTTTATCTTTCCTTCCCTGTACTTCACCATTTTTACTTCCTAACAGTCTACTAGAGAGAACACGGTGTGGCCTTTAAAACATAAAGGAAGGAAGAGGCCTGTATTTGACATTTCTCTTTCTTTATGTTGTAATTGAGGGTAGCCTTCTAAATTCTAGTTTGGGCAGGTGCAGCCAATGGTCTGACTCTGGACTCCATTTTAAAAACTTCCTTTTTACCCCCTTTTTCCTTTTGATACAGAACAAAGGTGGGGTTAAGGAAGAAGGCTGGAGAGCTAGGCTGGCTTCTGCCCTACAGAATTGGATGTCCTTTTTTTCATATTGGGCTTTGGGAAAGTGTTCAAGTAAGAGCAGTCTCAGGGTCTCTGAAGGGTAGGGGGATGTGCTATCCTTCCTGTGAAAGCCCAGACCATATGTGAGAATAGATCTGGGAGAAGCCATGGAGCTAAAGGATACTGAAAACAATGAAAACTGTGATTGGGAATTTTTAGGACATTGTATTTTAAATTATATTATGAATGTAAGACTTGATTTTTATCTGTATATCTGAAGGGAGGCAGCTGCATCCTCAATTTTTGCAGCCTATATGACTTCAGAGATTGGAGCTTATGAATTTAACAGTGCTGGTGCCATGAGGTTGAGCAAGCCTAGCCTTCAGATACTGTTATGTTTAGATTGTGCATGTTTGGTGGTTTTAGCTTCTAGGCAGAAGTTCTTCTGTAGATTTCTAAGAGTCCTTTAGAAAAATGGATCAGGAGTCCTATTCTAATGGGTGCTTAATTATCCCATATTTTAGGAGTGAACATTTTTGTTGAGGAAAGAAATCTTTCAAGGGGCCAGAAAGAATTCTAAGCCAAGTTGTCCAGCTGAAAATGCCACCTAGCCACAGATTATTTAATGTGATATTTTTTCAGTCTTCATGGTGTTTTTTGCCATGGAAAAGGTGATGCAATTTGAAATATGTCTTCTTGATTTTAATGCAGCGTCTTTCACACCAAATATTCTTTGTGGATAAATTGAATTTTTTCATTGGTAGTCATAGGGAGATAGGAGTTGTACATGTGCTGCTGCTTGCCAGGAACAGGTTGGGGAGAAAACTGAGACAGTTGGAATTGATGATGCACTGGCCTAATATAGGAGGGAATTCGTTCAGTAAGCCTTAACTGAAGGTGAATTAGTGTCCTGCACTTCTGCATATTTGAACTGTCTGGAGTGCCTGCCATTGCTGTGTAAAGTGAGCTCTGTGCTGATTGATAAACCAGTAATACTTTTGACTTGGAATGTCACTTTACTTTTATGGATGACATTTTCCTCTTTCTCCTTGATATTTTCTGTGTTGTGCTAGGTAATTGGTAATTGGTAGATGCGTGGTGTGTTTACTAAATTTAGGCTATTTGTTTAGATTTTGTTTGGCGGAGTCAGCTTTCCTTTCTGACCTTCCCAAAAGGTTATTTAGTTTGCATCTGTATCTTGTGGAATTGATGATCACTGATTTATGAAAATGCCTTTTACAGCTTTCAGTTTTTCTCATCAAATGTCACATATTTTCTAATCACATTCACTCTCTCACCACAGAGATACATATCCACTTGGCCTCAGCAGTTCTCCATGGCAGTCTGTAGTTCCTTAGAACTTTGTCAGGAGTGACCTTGAAAAAAGTGCTTACTAGAGCCTAAGAGCTGCTTTACGCTGCATAGTCTGGCCTTTGCACTAGTAGATCATTGCTGATATAGGTCAATTTAGAGACTTTTTTATATTAGTGCCTCCTGATACTGTTTTAAGATACATACAGTGTCCGCTTTTATATCTATGCATATGTCATGAAACTTTGTACGGGCTCTGCATGAAGCTGCTTACTGCATTGTCTTTGGGTTAGCAGATGTGCCTGTCAGCTAGCATGCATGTTGTCCAGATTCCATAAGCTTAGGCTTCAGAAGATGGTGTGGTTTCTAAATGCTGTGTCTTCTCTTACCCTCACCACTTCAAAGGGTGAGAAACAGGATTTATACATGCCAAGTTAGTCTAGTAAACAGGGCTTTTTTCCCCCTCCTTTTAACCTTATTAAGGGTAAGTGGTGGTAAGCAGGCCTGGAGCCTCAAGTTCTGTAAATTTCATTCCTATAACTTTGCTTGAATCTCATGTTGGCAAAAACAAATACCTGTGAAGTGTCATTAGGGCTTTTAATCAGATACCTGTGTTGCTGTTAGCTAAACTCTAGTGAAGCATTAATCTAAAGCTACATTGGTCTTCTGAAGTATCAGTTATGCTTTTTGGGTTTAGAAAATACGTAGGAATTAGTCTAGTCTTTTCACTTGAATCAATGTGTTTCCATATCTGAGACCCTCAACTTCCTCTTTTTTTTTTAAATGATTTTAGTGTTTTAATGTATCCTTTTACATAGTTCTGTATTATTGGCTTCACCAATATTGATAGAAAAAATTTAAATCTCCAGTTGGAAACAGCAATGGATTAGAATATAGAAATAAAATCATGGTAACATCAGTGCTGGATTTACTTAAGCCTCTGCTACTTAATTCCCCATATTGAAAATCCATACCCCTTATGCCTTGTTTCTGGACAAAGGCAATTAGAGGAGTCTTATCCCAGTATGGTTGGATTTTAAACATATCTGTGTTTCCCCCGCAGAAACACAGGACTGTGGGAACTTGGGAGCTGATTAAATTTTAAAAGGATTAGTCCTTTGTTGATGATCTATTTTGATACTAATGCCAGGAAAAGGGATTCTAGGACATCTTGAAGTTGGAATACAAATATTATTCTCTTGGGTTTGGGAGAATTTAAGCAGTCTATGCAACCCTTCACATGGTGAGAAATAAGCCTTCTGCAGTCCCACGAAACTTTCAATGACTTTGATGCCTCCCCAAATTTCTTGTGTTGCTGCTTGTTAACACCCAGCTTTTAACTGAGTGTTTGTTCCTGGTGGTTTAAAAAATGTTCATGTTTTATCACACTGTCAAGTTTTATCTTTTTATCCCTCTGTGGGATAAAAAGCATGGTACTATAATCCTGCCTGATAGAGTGGTCTGGAGTGAGAATTATTTTTTAAGTGGGAGACCATTCCATTTTAATGTTTCTGAAGTTTTTAGCATGAACTTGGCATTGGAAAAGGGAGGGCAAAAAAGGAACGTTTACTAAAAAGTGGTGTCTACTCTTCCCCTTTATGAGTGTGTATTCGTGGTGAATGAAAAGAAGAGAAAGACTTGAGAGCATGCTAATTGAAGCCAGAGCAAGTATGTCTTCATCAGGTTATCAGGAACTCTTCAGTTGAAAGCTGAGGCCTTAACTGATTAGTGGTTGATCACATTGGAATTGGTTATAAGATGGAAGTGCTGGCTGGGTTAAGCACCCAAAGAAAAGAATGCAGCCCACTAACTTAGTGTTAACCTAGGTTTCTGGATTTGAAACTGACCTCCCCACCCTACTCCACACACCTAAAACTGTTTTCTTATCAGACCAAAGAGCAAAGAAGGAAAAAAAAAAAGTAAAACACTTTTCCAATCTATGTCACTCAGGTACAATTTTGTGGTGATATTTTTGTCTGTTTTCTTTGTATTGCTCTTAAGAGCCCTTTCTCAGCATATTATTCTGTTCTTGCCTCTGTCCTCCTTGGGGCACCTCAGTTCTGGATGCTACCCCTGGGATCTCTACTGCTGTTATGTGAATGGTAAGATATAAGTGACCATTATAGTAAGGGCTCTTTGTAAAACATTAAAAAAATTTTTTTAAAAATTTAAAAAAGGATGTTGTATACATTTTATAGTCTGGCTATCAGTTTGATATCTTGCTGTCAAGTATGTTTCTCAATCTGTATTTATCCATCCCATCAATAAATGTTAATGATAAAACAATCATCTGATCATTGTTCATGTGTACTGAGCCTTCAAGTTAGTCTTTAACTGTCATTTGATTGATATGATAATAGTTCTGTTTTAGTTTTGGTAATATAGGATGTACTTTCTTACTGCACAAGATCCAATGGGAATTGAGTTCATTGGAAATAGCTAACTAAGATTTGATCATGACAGTGAACCTGATGGTATATAAAGTATGATGTGGCAGAGGGGGAAAACCCCTCATTCTGTATTGTCGCATGGACACCTGGAAGGGTGACTGGTACACAGAAAAATATATAGCTCTAACAGATGATAGCAACATGTACTGCTTATCTAGCAAGCACTATCAATGATTCATAACTGTATATTTGGTTCTTTGAAAACTGAAATGTTGGTATAGACAGCAGTGCTTTTGGAAGAAAAAATTAATAGCCTTCTTGGTGGTGCCTGGAAAAGCTGATAGGGAATACTCACCCTTGGGACATAATAAAACCACACACACAAGGTAAATCTTGCAAATTACCCATTTAAATGGAAAGAATTTTTATGCTATAATGCTCAAATTATATAAAAAAGTGTTAGGAGTAGCTATAGTTTAAAAACTCTAAAAGGAACAAAATATAAATTTAACAGAATGTTCAACACTACTGGAAAAAAAATCACTTGAGTCTTGAATTCTGTTCATTCCGTCCTTCCATTTTCTGAAATAAGACAACTTAAGATTTTTGTTTGCTGTGCCTCTCCTGAAACTTTTGTGGAAGCTGCCGATGTTTTAGGAATTTTGGTCTGGTTTGAATGGAAGAATAGAGAAGTAGTAAATGAACGATGTGAGAATGGATGATATTATAAATTTATTATAAAGTCATAAATAGTGATTTGCTTTTGTTAAAAGAGATATCAACTGTGTCATCCTTGGCAATAGATGAGGTATAAATCAATGTAAACTTCCAAACAGCTGGATCCCCAATTACAGAGGTTTGTTAAACTAACTGGGATAGAGCTACGTTTCATCTTACGATCAGTGCCTAAATCATCCTGGTCTCTCTGACACTTTTGAGAGCCAATAAGATTGGCTTGATCTCTGTCATTCAACTTTCTGTAGAAAGTTTGAAGCCCTTTCTATGACTTCTGTGGATTCCCTTAGAGACTTGTATTTATTGTAATCTCTAGCTCTGGCACCTACTTCTGCTGAATTGATTTGATTTGTGGATTGTCACATGTCTTACTTGTGCTACCTTTTTTGCATTGTGGAATCTTAACCCCTTTTCTTAATTTCACATAACACTCAAAACCAACAGGTAACCAAAAAATCACAGTGATGAAAACAAGTTAAAATTGAAAACTAGATCCATCTTTTCTGAAAAGTAGTTTCAGGCATTTCCCTGCTTTTCATTTATCCCTTCATTAGAAAATAGTATCTACCAAGTACTATATACTGTTTACAGATGATAATATGGCAGTAAACAAAGCAAGCATCTTGCCCTCATAGAACTTACATAGAATTCTAGTTGTAGGGGAGACAAGTAAAACATAATATGCTAGATGGTAAGTACTTTGGAGAATGTAAAGCAGGGAAGGAGGGACAGGGATTTTGTGTGTGCATGTAGGTCAGTAGGATTGTTGAAATTGGAAATAAGATGGCTAGGGAGGAAGGCCTTACGAAATCATAGTTCAGCAAAGACCTGAAAGAGGTTGAGAGAGCAAGCCACAGGAATATTTGTGGGTAAGATCATTCCAGGAAACAAGTGCAAAGGTTCTGAGGTGAGACGATACCGGCACGTTTGAGAAAGAGCAAGGAGGCCAGTGTAGCTAGTATAGAATTGAGTGAGGAGGAGAGAGTAAGTAGTAGGATAATGTGGTTAGAGAAGCAGCAAAAGGCCAGATACAGTAGGGCCTTGTAAGCCATTAGGAAGACAGTGAAATGGAGCACCATTGACAAGTGTTGAGTAGAGAAGTAACATGATCTATCTTGGGTTTTAAAATGATCATTTGGCGGGGAATTCCCTGGCAGTCCAGTGGTTAGGACTTGGCGCTTTCACTGCCAGGGCCCGGGTTCAATCCCAGGTCGGGGAACTAAGATCCTGCACCATTGCAAGCAGCGAGGCATGGCCAAAAAAAAAAATGTTCATTTGGCTTCTGTGTTGAAAAATGGACTATATAGAGTCAAGGGTAAGGAGACTCTCACAATAATTAAGGGAACAGATGCGAGTGGCTTGGACCAGGTTGGAAGCGCTGAAGGTAATGAGAAGTTACGTATCTTGAAGTTGGAGCCAGTAGGATCTGCTATAAGGTTGGAGAAGTCGAGGATGACTCCCAGTGTTTGGCCCAAGAAACTGGAAGGAAAAAAGATGAGGATGACTATAGAAAGTGCAGGATTTTGGCATTTATTTATCTCCACTCTCTCTCTCTCTCACACACACAAACACACTTTTTCTCTGGGATTAGCCCCCAAAAGTCCGAATTAAAAATTCTCTTTCCTTTAAGAATTCATCTTTCCTAACCGCTATTTACGAACAGCCTCAGGTCTACTTTAACCTATTCAGTAGCTAGCAAAGTGTTAGTTGGATTAAAAACAGCCATCTACTTTGTTAAAAAGCACAAAGAATTTGCTAATGTCTTGACCATTTAATATCTCTCCCCCACTTAGAAGGAAGTGGGTTTTTTTTTGGCTGCTTTGGGCCCTCCTTGCACGCAGGCTTTCTCTAGTTGCGGCGAGCGGGGGCTACTCTTCGTTGTAGTGCGAGGGCTTCTCATTGCAGTGGCTTCTCTTGTTGTGGAGCACGGGCTCTAGGCGCATGGGCTTCAGTAGTTGTGGCTCGTGGGCTCTAGAGCGCAGGCCCAGTAGTTGTGGCGCCTGGGCTTAGTCGCTCCGCGGCATACGGGATCAAACTCGTGTCCCCTGCATTGGCAGGCGGATTCTTAACCACTGCGCAACTAGGGGAGCCCGGAAGTGGTTCTAAATAGCATTTTTTGGTCTGTTTTGGGCTTAGCAGAAAGATTTTTTTCCCCCCAAGACCTTCAGTAGACGCTCTAATTAAAGCCTTTGTTGCATCTCTATCTGGTCCCTAATGCCTCTTTACATTGTTCCCTATAGTAGCTTTAATATTCCTTTTTGATTTCACTGCATTTGGTTGAAAATTCCCATATTTTCTGTAATGTGGCTTCCTCTCCTAGTTTTGAGTTACAGAGTGTTTATAACAAATGTCTTTGTACCTCTTCTGAGGGTTGGAGTGTTTGCTTATGTATATAACTCATAGCTGCTATTTAATGGCTGTATTGCATCCACAATCCCAAACTACTCTAGAATGTTTACTCCGAAAGAGCAGGTTTATTGTTCTTGTTCTCCCTGTATCCCCAGTGCCTGGCATTTAGGTGCTCAATAAATGAATGAATCTCATGAAATGGCCTTCTAGGACTGCCCTAATCTCTGGGAAACGGGAGGTATGAGCTCTCCTTTACCCATTTCGGTTTTAATCACTTCTTATGCCTAAACTGCTGTTCTCCAGCTTTGTAGATTCTCTACGCTCACCACTGAACCACGCTCACCTGCTCATTGGTAATGGAGAAATAGCTTACTTAAATGAAACTGACAGCAGGTGAGAGCTTGGGAAGGATGGGATGCAAAAAAGATCCAGAAGGGTTATGGGGAGAAAATGTTGGTTCATGTCTACCAGAGGCATGGTGGAGATGAAAGAAGGGAGAGATGCTTTTAACTAAAGATGCTTAGAGGATGATAAAATTGGGATTGTGTCTGCCATTTCTATATACCTGCATTATTTAGCACGGAATTGTAGAGAATTTTAGAGAATCAAGGCCGCAACGAGAACTCATATTTCCTAATTCTCAATCCAATGCTCTTCACTATATGAGAGGGAATAAAAGGGATAAAAAATGAGGGCTGGGTTCAAATTCGCCTTCTTCCCCTAATTACTAGATATGGGCTCATTCTGTTCCTCTATTATCTGTAAAATGGAGATTATAGCTTCTTCCTCTTAGGATTGTTCTGAAAATTAAATGTTTATATATGTAATTTCCCAGACTTAATAAACATTCAAAAAATGTTTCCATCAGTGAACTGTTCACAAAACTAAAGCCTTTTCCTGTAAACACTGAGAGTCAAATGTACAGTGATCCTTTGGCCTCTATATGTCGATTTTGTACCTACTGTTTAGGGGTGGTGAGGTAGCCGCGGCCTAGGACCACAGACAGAGAGGCCAAATGCGGCCTTAACACCAGCGATGATGGGAGATGGAAAGTCATTGTCTTCAGCGAGCGCGTTCCAGAGCCCGCGCTCCCTCCGCCTCACTCACTCTGGAGCTGAGTTACCGACAGACAACTCTTCTAGCCACCCAGCCGCGCCTTTTCTCAGCGCCCCGCCCTCCCAGGCTTGATAGGTAGCCAATGGTGACACAGAGTTGTAGGCGCAGTAGCCAATCAGCGGTTGGGAGCCCGGAAAGGACTGGTTAGAAGCGACTGGCGCTGCCAGACCGTAAGCAGCGCGGCGTGGCTGCAAAGGTAAGATGGCGGGGGCGCTCGCTCTTCGCATTTGCAGTTAAGCTGCTGCTTGCCCCGTCTGTCCGTTCCGAGCTGCTACTCTGCCTCAAGTCAGCGTCAGAGTCAGTCTCCTCGAGGCTCCCAGAACCCAGATTCTCCGGTGCCCGGAGCTTTAGGACAAAATGGCGCTTTCGCGGGCCGCCGAGGATGGGCAGGGCCCAGCCGTGAGCTCTGAGGCGGGCCGGGACAAAGGCGGCGTGCGCGGAGGCGGGGGTGGCGGGTGGCCCTGCGGGTTTGCCGCGCCGCGTGGGGCCGGCGCCGGCGCTTCGCCCTCGTGCCGCGGCTGTGTGAGCCCTTGAGATGCTTTCAGCCTGGCGGTGGTCGGGGTGGGGGGCGGGCTTGGACTGGGAAGTTGAGGTGAGGCAAATTCACTAACGCCTGGGGGGACGTGGGCGGAGCGTGACTTCCGCTTGTCTTTTAGAAGCCATGCGCAGTCTGCCCAGATATCGTGGAGCAGGAATTTTCGGGAAGGGTAAGGGCTTTTTGATCTTTTGTGTGACCCTGCAGGTTTTGGTATGAACAGGATTCGGATCCACGTCTTGCCGACCAGTCGGGGGAGGATCACCCCAGTGCCCAGGTCTCAGGAGCCCCTATCTTGTTCGTTTACTCATCGCCCATGCTCGCAACCTCGTCTGGAGGGGCAGGAGTTTTGCATTAAGCATATACTTGAAGACAAGAATGCCCCTTTCAAGCAGTGTAGTTATATATCTACGAAGAATGGAAAAAGATGTCCCAGTGCTGCCCCAAAGCCTGAGAAGAAAGATGGGTATATATGTATAGATATCTGTCGTTTGTACTTTCAGTTTTTAAGTGAGAGGAGGATGTGGCATGATGTGGGTTGGGAATAGCTGCCTAGTTTTTTATGTCACGTGCTTGTAAAATTGAGGTTATGGGTATATCCTTCGAAAATTTTTAAAAATGTTGAAAACTGTAAGGAGACAACTCCCAGTTGGGTCACTTTGTTATCTCTTTGGATCTTTTCCCTTATCTGTAAAATAAGGATTATTCTTAACCCTAGGTTCCACGACTCTTGGCTGTCCTTGAACCTTAGGTAATAATGCAAAATTGTATTAATATTTATGTATTTTTCTGGGAAAAACTTAATAGCTTTCATCATTTAAGCAAAAGTATCTATGCAGAAACATAACTTGACTAGATAATTCTGCATATATCATTTGGTTTTAAAATTGTGTCCTACATCTTATTACCTACAGTGGATTGATACTGAAGTAAAATGTTGTCTTCCAGAACCAATTTTGAAAGATGAAAGTGAATCTCTTTGATTTGTTGTGAAATGATGTCAGCATTTTTAGAGATGGAATGTTTTGTTTGATGGATAGAGCACTACTAGGTTATGCTACCTGCATTTCCCATTAGTAATACCAAATGAGTTGACCTTGGGCCAGTTACATTATTTAGCTTTACTGGCATTTTTAATTTATAAATGAAGATAATAGTCATTTTAATTTCCTGAAAATGATCTAAAGATCAGTGTCTGTGAAAATAGTTGAACTCTTTTAAGAGAGAACCAGAGTATAAAATGTTAATATTTTGTCTCCTTAGGGTGTCCTTCTGTGCTGAACATGCCCGTAGGAATGCCCTTGCACTTCATGCTCAAGTGAAGAAGACCAATACAGGGCCTGTGGGTGAAACACTCTTATGCCAGCTGAGCTCATATGCCAAGTCAGAGCTGGGTTCTCAGACTCCAGAAAGTAGCCGCAGTGAAGCCAGCCGAATTCTGGGTAAGGGTCTTCTCTCCCAGAATGAAAAAGGAGGAAAAAAGTTAACAAAGAACTTAATTTGGTTTAGCACAGTGTCTTGAACATATGTGGCACTTGATAGTACAATATTATTGTTAATTCGTAGGCAATTTGGTGAGAATTCAGGATTGCCATGTTGTTCACCATTCTTTTTGGTTTTAAGTAGTGGGTGCTTAGGTTTACTACCCTGAGTTTGACTCTTTCCTTCAATGCTGCTTTTATACTTACCATCTTTGCTAGGTAAGGTAATTTCAGGAAACAGAATAATTTTGAGTTGGCCTTTCTGTCCCTTTGAGGGCATGGTTAACTCATTTGTGTTATAAGTACTCATACTTGGGATGTATTTTCTTAAGCCGTTTTTGCTTGTCAGTGCCTCTGTACTAAGCTTTTTTAATTTTACGATTTGGGTTGATGTGTTAAGTAATCTAGTTTTGTGTGGTGGAGTTACAGAGGTGGGAAGTCTTAATGGCTGCTCTCCCTTCCTTGCCTCAGATGAAGACAGCTGGAGTGATGGGGAGCAGGAACCCATTACTGTGGATCAGACATGGAGAGGTGACCCTGACAGTGAAGCTGATAGCATAGACAGTGATCAAGAAGATCCCCTAAAGTAAGTTGTAACTCCACATAGGGCTTTTAAATATTTTAGTAGTTAGTATGTGGAATGTAGTACTGCATGCTGTTTAGTAGATTAATAACCTAGGAGGGTTGAAGATAGCTGTTTGTGAGCAGTAATAAATAGCTTCTGCATATTAAAGTGTCATTGTTCATCACCATCTTGCTTCAGGGTAGGATTTGATTCTTTTTTTAGAAGTCTTGTAATTTGGGAAAATTTTGGGACATCAGATTCTACACATGAGAAAGTGTAGGGGAGAAAATAGATTTCTTGGACATAGGAGTGGGAGGTGGGTGGAGATCAGTTAAGAGAAGAGAAAATTGATGTGAATTGGTTCTTGGCTTAAACCTCAGGAATAATAAAGTGATTATATTTGAATAACTACTTTTTTTTGCAAAGCTCTGTCTGATTAATTTATTTGTTTAAGAAAAATTAAAAGGTGTTCAGGAGCTTCCTTTGGTTTCATGCCTAAGAAAGAGAAACTGATTTAGAAACCCAGAAGTGAGTAATCAACCTAATTATATCTTACTAAGGTTCTGCTCGTTACTTAACCCATGTTCGCTTTGGAGTTGTAGACATATTGCCACTCAGAAGTCTCATGTTTCTATGTCTCATGGTTTGGGTTGAGTTTTTGTTTTCTTTCTGATTTCTGTCTCATGACACTTCTCACTGACAGTTCAGGTGGAAGAACTCTGAATAGTGGGAGGGGTAATGAATTTCTAGATTGACTGTGTTTGACAAATTCTTAGAATAGCATTTTCTTCATTCCTTGGATTCTGAAGTTTATAAGAGGTCATTTACGATTACACTTTCTGAGTAGAATAATTTCATCTATTTAAGTAATCTCGATGTAGTAAGCTATTCAGGAAGTACTTGTTTGGAGAGTCCATCTAAGTAGTTTGAGAAGGAATGTTTGTTTCAGGCTTCTTTTACAGTAGAAGCTTTATACCAAGCAACATATATGTTGTTTTTTTTTCCCCCCCTCCTCCATTGTGCTTCTAGAAATGCCAAACTTGCTTCTTTGAGGAGGTGTACACACTGTAGGGTCACAGAGTGACTGTCTTTTGGTGTGAAACGCTCAGTTTTGAAGGTCCAGAAACTCGATTTTGTCAGTAGTAATCTAGAGTGGATCAGTCTCTAGCGGACACATTCATTCTAATCTGACTTAACAAGAGATTGCTATATAAACCGAAATACCAGTTAATTTTATGAGAAGTATAAATGTTAAGAGGACTAGGTACTTGATGTTAGTTTCCTTTAAAAGAAACATTCAAAGGGGAAAATAAAGCCCCAGATGTGCTCAACTATTAGATAACTAAATATAAGGCTTTCCTTAATTCTCCCAGTGATACTATTTAAAAAAATTTTTGACCAACTAAAATCCAGTTGTCCCTCATAATTTGAGGGGGATTGGTTCCAGGATCTGACCCGGCCAAAATGCAAGGATGCTCAAGTCCCATAGTTGGTCCTCCATACCTGGAGATACCCACCAGCGGGAGTAAATAGTACTATACGTATATGCATTTTTAGAGGTGTAAATAGAGTTGTTAATTGTCTGCTTACAATATTTAATTCATTAATGTGGTTACATATTATATTTAATATAAGTAATGAAATTCTTTTAATTAAGAATTTTCATCTTTGGTGCTAATTTTTATTTATTTATTTATTTTTGGCTGCGTTGGGTCTTTGTTACTGCATGCGGGGCTTTCTGTACTTGCGTCAAGTGGGGGTTACTTTCGTTGTGGTGTGTGGGCTTCTCATTGCGGTGGTTTCTCTTATTGCGGAGCCTGGGCTCTAGGCACACAGGTTTCAGTAGTTGTGGCTGGCGGGCTCTAGAGCACAGGCCCAGTAGTTGTAGCGCATGGGCTTAATTGCTCCGTGGCATGTAGGATCTTCCCAGACTAGGGCTCGAACTCGTGTCCCCTGCATTGGCAGGTGGATTCTTAACCACGGTGCCACCAGGGAAGTCCCGGTGCCAATGTTTTTGTCATCATTTTTGAATCATTAACAGTTTATAGCATATATCTTCACTTGCTTGTTTCAGAAAGGGTTCTTTTTGAATTGTTTATGATGATGTCATTAGAGATTTTATCCTAACTAGAATTATTATTGGCATATTTTTTCCCCATTGTAGGTACATATATGTGATTTCTCTCAAAATAATCATTTACTTAATTGCTTTGTAAAAAGTAATCTTTAAAAGCTTGTTTCCAGGATCATCCAACACTGGTGAAATTTTAGCTTAAGAGTAACTGTTAAATCTTTCCCTATTTAAAAAGTAAGTTTTATCATGTGACCTCTACATGCATCCAGAACTTGTTTTGGTAAAGGTCATTTCAGGTTATTGAGTCTTCATCATTGTTATCAAAATGAAGAAATTTGAGAGAATGCACTTTTAAGAAGAGGCACTATTTAATAGAATATAAGGTGACTCTCTTTTTTGAAGTTGAATTCTAATAATAAATCCTAGATTTATATTTGTGTATATCAGAGCAAGAAGAATTAGTACATGACTTTAATAACTAGCTGTGAATGTCTGGGACATCCATCTTTAAATAAATGATCCATTTTTCACATGAACTAGGCATTCATATTAGTTAGGGTGCTCATCCTCTCCCACCCCCGCCCCAAATGATTTGTAGTAAATTCTAATTGTAGTGGCTTCCCATTTATAAATTATAGTCCCCAGATCATTGGTTAAATTCTCTTCTGACAGGGTACAATGAAATTAATTTCATTTTAACAAACTTGGTACTAGGTTAAGGCCTCAGTATTTTAGGGGGTACAGACATATTAATGCAGACATGCCCTATTTTCCTGAATATGAATAACCTAGTCACCTTTTTTAGACCTTAGATATTTTTAAAACCTTTTCACATTTTCTGATAGTCTTAGATTTTGTCATTTCTGTAATTTTCTGGGGTTTTTTTTCACGTTTTGGTTCTTAATTTCTTTTCACTTATTTTTATCAGAGTACTTTGTAGTTGTAGTTCTCTTATACACAGGTAGTTTTGTCTCCTATTTATATTTAGGAAAAGTTTTTGGCAGAGATTACTTGCTTTCAGTCCTAAAGTTAATAATTTTATTCTGTGTATTTCAGTGATTTAAGAGTTAAATTTTAAAGAGCACATATTTTTGGATTCAAAATTAGTATGTAATTTGTGTGTATTGCCTTTTAAATAACAGAAATAATTTTTACTCAGTCAAAATATGAAAATAGCAAGTCAGGGTATATATCTAGCTTGTTCTTTCTGTTTATATAATGATCACATAAGACAAATGGAACCAAAAATCTTTTAAATTTGCAGTTAATCCCTTAAACTTTGAGTTAAATCAGAGGCAGGAACCAGTCTTTAATTAAACTGACATTTAAACTGATTTGCTTATGCGACCTCATTAATCACTAGAATAAGTTTTTTTTTTAAGTTCTGTTGATTCATATAGTTGGTGGCAAAACTTAATAAAGTTGGGCTTCCCTGGTGGCACAGTGGTTGGGAATCCACCTGCCAAGGCAGGGGACACGGGTTCAAGCCCTGGTCGGGGAATATCCCGCGTGCCGCAGACCAGCTAAGCCTGTGAGCCACAACTATTGAAGCCCGTGCGCCTAGAGCCCGTGCTCCGCAACAAAGAGAGGCCACCGCGATGAGAAGCCCGTGCACTGCAACGAAGAGTGGCCCCCGCTAGCCACAACTAGAGAAAGCCCGCGCGCAACAAGGAAGACCCAACGCAGCCAAAAATAAATAATAAATAAATTTATTTAAAAAAAAAAAACTTAATAAAGTTGATGTGGATCTAGATCTTTGGCAAAGGGTTACTCCAGGGTACGATATTTTGAGAATATTGTCAAAATGAGCTGAGGACATTGACTAGCCATTGTGACCAGTGTTTTGAGGGCCTGTGTAAACTCCAAAATACAAGTGTATTTTTATTTTTTATTTCTATTTAATTTTAATTAATTAATTTATTTTTGGCCGTGTGGCTTGTGGGATCTTAGTTCCCGGACCAGGGGTTGAACCCGGGCCCTCAGCAGTGAGAGCACGGAGTCCTGACCACTGGACCGCCAGTGTATTTCCCTACGAGTATGTTTTTAAATTAGAAGTCATAATTGTTTGTTATCTTTTGTGCTTTAATTAAAATGTATTGAGATACATGCTGCTAAATTAAACACTTTTAAGCTGTCCTGACTGTGATTTTTCTGTATTAAATTATTAAATGGAACAAGAATGTAGATTAATAAAAATTTTGAGTATTCTATATCTTTACTCCTATTTAAACATAATGCAAATAACTGGGGAAAATAATGAAACATTTCCCCTTTCCCATATTGTGATGTCATACATTAGTATCCATTCTTGGGAATTTTCTTTTTTGTTTTGTTTTTGAGTAACAACTTGAATGGTAAAATGCTGTGTGAAAACATTCCTGTTTAATAAGGTGATTGTCTCAGCACTGACTGTTGAATAGCAAATCTAAGTCTCACCTTCACTCCTTTTTCCTTCTAAGCTTGGGTTTTATTGTTGTGCTTTCTTATCCTTTTTGAATTGTCTCTTTTATTTTAGGCATGCTGGTGTCTACACAGCGGAAGAAGTGGCCCTGATTATGCGTGAGAAGCTTATTCGTTTGCAGTCTTTGTACATTGACCAGTTTAAACGACTTCAGCATCTACTCAAAGAGAAGAAGCGACGTTACTTACACAATCGCAAAGTGGAACATGAAGCTCTAGGCAAGTTTTATGCCAGTTCCGATAAGCTGTTGTGGGTTCAACATGTGAATTTCGTAGTAGTTAGACTTCTGTCTTGTTACTGGACTGGAGAAGGATTTGCTTTTGAAACTTGTATGGGCAGATTTCTCTGTTTTCTTCTTGTTAGTTTGGGGACGCATCCTTGATTGGTTGCTTGGCAGATAACATCTTGACTGTTGTGATGTTCTAGGTAGTAGTCTCCTGACTGGCCCAGAGGGACTTCTTGCCAAAGAACGAGAGAACTTAAAGCGTCTAAAATGTCTTCGGCGGTATCGTCAGCGCTATGGAGTGGAAGCCTTACTACATAGGCAGCTGAAGGAGCGCAGAATGCTGGCCACAGATGGTGCCGCCCAACAGGTAATTTTTGTATATACCTCTAAGGTGTTACATTTGTTTTATATACAGAGTTAGGGTAATTGTCAAAACACTGTTGTACAGTCTTGGTTCTGAAATCTAACTTACTGGACGTGGGGTATATTGAAAAGAGCACTTATCTGGAAGTGCAGAGACATGGGTTTTGGTTCCCTTCTGATCAATTCTGTGCCTGCACTGATAACTGAACTCTGTTTTCATCTGCATATTGAAGGGTTGCCATAGATTTCTAAGTTATTTGGTTCAGAAATTCTTCAGAAACAGGCACAGAATGCCTAATAGATTGGGACTCTTATTTTAGAAGGCAGGAAGATAGGAGCAGTGAAGGTCAGGAAGTAGAGTTGACAAGCAGAATTAAGCGATTATTCTTAAATTTGTTCCTCAAGCCCCTGGGTCTCTGCATCAGTAAGAGTAAGTCCATTTTTGGGCTTCTCTGGTGGCATAGTGGTTGAGAATCTGCCTGCCAATGCAGGGGACACAGGTTCGAAACCTGGTCCCGGAAGATCCCACATGCTGTGGAGCAACCAAGCCTGTGTGCCTCAACTACTGAGCCTGCACTCTAGAGCCCTTGAGACACTACTACTGAGCCCGTGCACCACAACTACTGAAGCCCGCGAGCCTAGAGCCCGTACTCCGCAACAAGAGGAGCCACTGCAATGAGAAGCCCGCACACTGCAACAAAGAGTAGCCCACTCTCGATGCAACTAGAGAAAGCCAGCAACATAGACCAGATGCAGCCAAAAATAAAATAAAATTAATAAACAAATTTAAAAAAAAGAAAGAGAATTCCTTTTTTTTTTTTTTTTTTTGCGGTACGTGGGCCTCTCACTGTTGTGGCCTCTCCCGTTGCGGAGCACAGGCTCCGGACGCGCAGACTCAGTGGCCATGGCTCACGGGCCCAGCCGCTCTGCGGCATGTGGGATCTTCCCGGACTGGGGCACGAACCCGTGTCCCCTGCATCTGCAGGCAGACTCTCAACCACTGCGCCACCAGGGAAGCCCTATCTTTTCTATTTTTTGAGGCTCCACGTAAGATTACGATTTAAAAAGGGTTCTGCTAAAAGACAAAATAGTTTGAAAACCATTAGGCCGTGTATCACACTTTTGTAATTCGGAGGAATTGTATTTCGAATTATGGTTGATTCATTATTTGGACTTGAGGTTTACATTTTTTTTTTCCTTTTGCATAGTATTGGTGAATAAATTTGTTAAATGTTCAAGTTTCTAGGCTTTAAGGATACAGTTTTCTTATATAAGTAAGTGTTTTCATAGATAATTTGTTTTGACTGACCTGTTTTCTCCATTTTAGGCCCATACCACTCGTTCCAGTCAGAGGTGCTTGGCCTTTGTGGATGATGTTCGTTGTTCCAATCAGTCTCTTCCAATGACCAGACACTGCCTTACCCGTATCTTTTTGCTCTGTTCAGTTTGCTAGCTAGACTGAAGGCTAGTGGGGATCTGTGATAGTTTAGTTAATTGAAGGTCTTTGTTTTCCTTTGGCCCTGAATCAAGGCCAGCAGTTTGCTGAAGCTGTTGGTTTCAAGCAGGAGCCTAAAGAAGTCTCTTTCTATGGTCTGTTGGCCATTTCAGAACTTTGGAAATGTAATGGTCAATTCATTAGAAAGAAACATCTCAGTCATTGGTGATAGATATGGGCTAATACTTACTTGTAGTTGATTAATATTGGGATTCCAAAATTTAGAGATCCCTGATTTATTAACTCATTCATTAGAATTATAATACTGTTAAATCCAATTACTACAAAAAAAATTGCTGAGGATCCAAAAACAGTCGGATGATTCTGAAATGTGATCTTTCTTTGAATATTATCCTTTTATGGTCAGGGCCCTGACTTGTGTATTTTAGACTTCATTCAAATAGGAAACATTTACTACTGGGCTGTAAAATTTTTTGAGCTGTATATTGAATTGTGAAAGTGCATCTATATGGTGGACATTGATTGAGAAAGTTACTTTCACAGTAAATGCACTATTTAAATATGGTGATCTTCATTATATGAAAGGCATAAATCTTGCTGGATTTCATTTGCCTGGCAGGATATACAAATATTTGGAAAGTAAAATGTATTTTTTTAATAAGGGAAGGAAGACTTTCTTGCTCTTTTGAAAGGAAAACTGATTTTTTCTCTATTCTGCTTATTAAATATTTTACCAATTTATTAATTATTGTAACAAATGTCTGGTAAAGGATTACTGTCCTTAATATATAAAATTCTTGTGCAGAGTAATTAAAAACTAAAGATAAATGCTCAAAACATAATTGGGCAAAGGCTGTCTATGGACAGATTAAAAGTAGAAGTGACTGATAGTTGAAAAGTATTTACCTTTACAATAAATAAGTGAAATAAGAAATAAAACAAGTTTTTTTAATCCATACTTTTTTTTTTTTGGCTGTGCCGCACGGCTTGTGGGATCTTAGTTTCCGGACCAGGGGTTAAACTTGTGCCCTGGCAGTGAGAGCCCTGAGTCCTAACCACTGCACTGCCAGGGAATTCCCGAATCTATAAATTTGAGACTTATCTATGTATGAGATTTAATGAGAAAGTTTCAGAAGTTTGTGAGGGAATGGTGAAATGGGCCCTTCTAAACTCTGCCAGTGGGACTGTAAAGTGGCACAGGCTTTTAGAAAGCAGTTTGAGAATATTCATATTCTTTGATATGATAACGTCACCTCTGAGAATTTATTTTAAGACGATAATCAAATACAGACGATTATTGTTACACAGAATTCCTCCAACCGGAGAGAGCCTTAAAATTTTCAGAGATGGGGAATAGAGAGGAAAATTGTGACACAGCATAGTATGGAATATGTTCAGGAATTAAACATATTAAACAAAATTTATGAATGACATAGGAAAATGTTTGATAGTGACAAAAATAGAGTATGGAATTCGGTAGAGTATGTTTTAACTACATGGAACTAATACTAGGAGGGAATGTAACAGAAATGTGACTATTTTTGGATGGTGGGGTTATGAATGCCCTTTTTCCCTCTGCTTTGTACTTTTCAGGTTTTCTTCAGTGACCTTGAATTACTTTATAAGGCAAAAAACCCAGTTTATGGATATTGAGTATTTTAGACTTACAGCACTATACTCAAGATAGTTTATTAGAATATCAATATTTTAAAAAGCAAAGTTGAAAATGTATGTGAAAAGAGAAGGGAAGTATTATTTTTCTCTTTTATGCTCTTTTCCTTTCCACTCTGTAGTTGCCTAAGTCACTTACCCTTCCTTAAGTCCTTATCCCAGAGAAAGATGCGACTGCCATTGGTGACCTGTTAACTCTTTACTCTGGTCTAATGGAGACACCACTGGACTGAAAGTGAAGGACCCAGACTCTAGTTGTAGGTCAACCATTCCCTTCTTTGTCTGTTGTCCCTATCTGAAAGGAAAGGGGGTGGAGGAGGATGGGGGAGGGCTTTTCAAGGATACTGTGATATTAAATAAATAAGAGACTTGTGAAAATCCTTCGAATTACATGAAAAAGGTTCCAATTGAAACAATTTAATGGATTCACATTTAAAATTTTAATAATTTAAATAAGATTGAGCTTCTTAAGCACATAGAGATTGCAAATCTGATTGTTCCCATCAGATTCATGTTTGTTCATTTGAGTGCTGATTTTCATTGAATAATTATTTGTTTACTTTGAGCTATATACTGTTCCTTTAGAGTAGTGGTTCTCAGCCGGGGCCACTTTGTACCCCATTTGGCAGTGTGTGGAGACATTTTTGTTTTGTCTTAACTCTGATGGGGGTGCTACTGACATCTAGTGGCCAGAGGCCAGGAATGCTGCTAATAAACATTCTACAGTGCACAGATAGATAGCCGTAATGCCAGTGGTGGCAATGCTATGAAATTCTACTTTAGAGTTTATGAAGTTCTAAGGAATGGATTGAACAAAATGGCTTTTCTTCGAGAGGGTTTATTAGGTTTAAAATCTACAATGTACATTAGATTTTTTAACTTCAAAAAATTACCTTAAAATTTGGGGGATAAAAATTACCCATTCTTCCATAATCTTGGGTACAGTTTACAGAAAATTTTGCTTTCTGGTTTAAAAAATAGGCCCAAGTTTGAAATAATAGTTGTCTATTAATCTAGGGAAAATAACCATGTAGTTAGGATTTCAGGAAATGATAAAACTTGAGTAAAATATTTTGTAGAGTGACTCGAATCAGAATTTTGTTATCTAATCATGATTTCAATGTTGATTCATCCCACAGAACTTCTTTGTCAACTTGGAAATATAGCCTTTTTCTGCTTCTACCCTTAAGAGAAGTTGTTAGGGCTCCTGGAGCATTCCTGGAGTACTTCTTTCCATGCACCATAAGCAGTTATTTTTTCTTCCCTTTCTTTTTTTAAAATTTTTTTTTTTTTTTTTTGGCTGCATTGGGTCTTTGTTGCTGTGCGCGGGCTTTCTCTGGTTGCGGCGAGCGGGGGCTACTCTTCCTTGCGGTGCAGTGGCTTCTCTTGTTGCAAAGCATGGGCTCTAGGCACACGGGCTCCAGTAGTTGTGGCACGTGAGCTCTAGAGCGGAGGCTCAGTAGTTGTGGTGCACGAGCTTAGTTGCTCTGCGGCATGTGGGATCTTCCCCGGGTCAGGGCTTGAATCCGTGTCCCCTGCATTGGCAGGCGGATTCTTAGCCACTGCGCCACCAGGGAAGTGCTCTTCTTCCCTTTGTTTTTGGGATCATAACAGGACTCCAGTGATACCACCCCCCTGAAAAAGGGTGTGTGTGTGGAAATTTAATTTTATTTCCTGTCAGGGTAGGATACCTGGTTACTATTACTGGAGCTTCTATTTTCCCCAACACCCTGCTTCTTTAAACAAACGTATCATGTAACCATTTTGGAAACAAGGTTCAAAAAGTTTTGAGGAAGTTTTTGCTCCTCTGCTTAACAGCAGAAACAACATTGTATCTCTTGACTCTTGGAAGGGGTTGCTAGGGGCCTCTGCAAGCTATTTGCATTTACCATGACATGTTTCTTCTGAATAGGTACAGATTTCTAGGATTGTTAACTGCTGTTTGCTTAGCACTATGTTTTGAAATGTTTTGCATTTGACCCTCATAGGGAGAACAAGATTAGTGTCTCTACTTTAAATGGAGGTTGGGGACTAGTTTTACATTACTGGTAGAGCTAGAGTTATGCTAGTAAATGACAATTTGAGAAGTAACTTTAAAAATTGCTACCTGCATTTGGTTCTGTATCAGATGTAACCAAATATCATGTGTTGTCCAGACCTTGAATTTTACATGGCAGACACCTTTTTTGTGCCTCCGATAGATCCATTTTATTTCCCTTGACCGTTTTTCTACAGATATTTGTCAGGACACGAATCAGGTTCTCTTCAAATGCTGCCAGGGGTCTGAAGAGGTACCCTGCAACAAACCAGTTCCTGTAAGCCTCTCTGAGGATCCCTGCTGCCCACTGCATTTCCAGTTGCCTCCTCAGATGTATAAGCCCGAGCAGGTACTGTCTGTGCCAGACGATCTGGAAGCCGGCCCCATGGATCTGTACTTGAGTGCTGCTGAGCTTCAGCCCACTGAGAGTTTACCTCTGGAGTTCAGTGATGTAAGTTAGAGAAGCTCTGCTCTGGTTGGCCCTTGAGGCAAGGCCTTATTTATTAATGGTGAGAATAGGTTAGTCTTTTGTGGTTTAAAAAAAAAGAAAATAACTTTGATAAGTTTTTTGAAATGATAATGTGTATGGTTGTATTTGTATGTTAACATATTCATTTAGAGACAGTTTAAATTTACAGAAGTTTTTTTTCCTGAGGGAATGATAAGGGAAATTTTAAACTAAGGGAAATTGGAAAGTCAAGATTATGGTTGGATTTGTGTAGCTGGGAAATTCGGTGCCCATCCACAAGGTAAGTAATTCACTTGAATCTAAATAAAACAAATGAATTCTGATATCTACTTGACAATGTAAATTTGTGTTTTGGCCCTATAAGAGTTCTCATTTTCAGATTAATGTGTCCCCCCCTAAAAATGACTCTAAACTTAGCTCTGCATACTGTTTTTCATTTTTGATATGGTATTAAAGATTCTGTTGTGAATGGACCAGAACAACAGTGATCTCCCTAAATATTTACTTTTATAGCCTTCTAAGTGTGTACACTACCCTACCTTTTTCAGTCTGCTCCTTGATTGGTCCCAGCGCATAAACCCATCTCTGATTGCATTCGTTTCCTTAATTAGCACTACCCTACTATATCATTCACTTCAGGGATCAGTTGACATTCCATCTCTTTTTTGGCACTTTGCTTAATCTTTAGCCTTTTGGATAAAGGTCTTCATTATTTATTCTGAAGATGATTCTTCTGAATTTCATAATAAAGGTGTCTTGTATCAATATATAACTGTGACATATTTAAAGTGACAAATCTAAATGGAAAATTCAGTATAGGTTGCAAGATTGTTTGCCTAGGGGTAGAAGCAGGATTTGGGTGGCCTCGAGTGTTGCTCACTAAAGAAGATATATCAGGACAGGCTAATATCTGAAAAAGTGGCACTAAGAGTAAACTGATTCTAGGGAATTCCCTGGTGGTCCAGTGCTTAGGACCCGGCACTTTCACTGCTGTGGCCTGGGTTCAGTCCCTGGTGGGGGAACTAAGATCCCACAAGCTGTGCAGAGTGGCCCCCAAAAAGAGTAAACTGATGCCAGTTAACTACGCCCCCTCCTTTTTTGGTTGTATACTGTTTGTAGGATTAGTGAACTTGATTTTTGTCACTTCATTTATAACAAACTTATAATTTTTGTTATAATCCTGATTATAATTGCTTTTTAAAAAGTTTCTTTCAAACAGATTCATAGAATATGAGAACCTTAGAGATTATATACTCCAGTGCTTCCCAGAGTTTTCCAATGAGATTATGTTGAAGAGAGTAAATGAATAGATAGCCCTAGATTGATACAGATTTTTGTCCACTTCCCTTCATTTTACATGTGAAGAAAACCCAAAGAGGTGCTATCTTTCCTTTTTTTTTTTTAACTTAGTAACGAGCAGATTTATAGGGTCTAAAAAATAACCTAATCACTACATTGCCAAATTCCCTTCAAATATTAATGTACATATGTAGTAACTAGCACATGGGTTTTACATAGATGTACTAGGTTATTAACTTTTATTTCATCTGATTGTTAATTTCTAGAGCCATTGCTGTTTTGACCTTTTTGCTTTTCCCCTTTCACCTGTTTTTGCGTTAGTTTTAGTGTTTTCTTAACCTTTTGATGATCTAGAGCTAAGAAAATATGACTGTTCCAGTATGTTTGAAGATTATGTTCTTGTTTGCTCTTTGGAGAATAGTAACACAAAATATTAGAGATTATAAGATGTGATCATAGCCTAAAAGTGACATTTAAGGAATCTTAATTTTTAAACATTTAAAAATATATTGTCAGATCTTTTAATATTTATTTTATGGTGTGAATTTTTTAAAGAATGTATGAGAAGTAAGTTTATTTTTGAGAATCTCATGGGTTTTTAAGATGGACCTTTGTTAGAGGTTTAAAAATGATAATCAGCTATTTGTACTTGATCATCTATTATGTTTGTATTAATGTACTTTAGATGAACCACATTGATCGTTGAAAAGTAGTTTTATTCTTAATCTTTGGAGGTAAAAATTCTCCAGAAAATGTTGAAACAGTTCTGTTTTAGAAAAGAGTTTTTGTCCTCCCATAAATTCTGGATATATTTAACTAGTCTTTTGCTGGGTAAAAATAATTTCTTAATTATATGAATTCCACCCAGCAATCTTACCTATGTTCTTTCTTAGATATCATTTCTGTTATACTTATTAATAATTTCTGGTAACTTGTGGGAGGACCAGGTATCAGATATTCATATGGGTAAAAGTTCAGCCTTTCATTCTGGATATTAACACTTGCCTGTTTTCTGTCCTTTGATCCGAGGATATTTGACAAATAAGAATTTAATACCTTAATCCTATTACTTTGAGCTTGCTCTCTTTTTGTGTTTGTTTTTTGAGCTCTGTTTTTGACATAGAACAAAATGGATGCTGTCTTTGTGTCCTGATTCATTCCTCTTAGGATGGGCATTTCTGCTGATCCTTTCTTCTTCTCTTATTTTAGGTTCCTGTTCCCAATTTTAATTCTTATAATATAAAGACAACACTGAATATGTGAGGAAAGCCTTTTCAGTATCTGTTTTGTTTGAAAAATTTCTGTACCACTGTTATCTTGAGACTTGGAAACCTTTTGCCACACTGCTTAAATGGGTTCTTTTAAATTTCAAGTTAATTATTTATACAGTTGACCCTTGAATAACACGGGCTTGAACTGTGCAGGTCCACTTATACACAGCTTTTTTTCCCAGTAAATTCTTACTACAGTCTACATGATCCACAGTTGGTTGAATCTGAGGGTATAGAACCATGGACAGAGAGGGCTGACTGAAGTTATACATGGATTTCTGACTGTGGGCATCGGTGCCCCTGACCACGGCGTTGTTCAAGGATCAAGTGCATAATAATTGTGCATACTAAAAGAATTGGAGAAAACAGTTCACAGTCTTACTTAACAGTGTGAGAACATGGTGGTTTCTGTGGATAGTACAGAAGTTTCTAACACATCTGACGTAGATGTTAGGTAGCCAGCTGTACCCTTTTCCTTATGTTTCTGCTTAAGTTGAGCAGCTTTGAGTCCAGCACGTCCTTTAATTGTGTTCTTTTCTTTACCTTAATTATCTTGAGGATGTGATTCTTGTTTTCGGTGATCAGCACAGCAAAGAAAGGGAAAGGATTTCAAACTCTTAGACTTATTTTAAAAGCACAGAACTTAGCTTTTCTCAAGAAGCTCAATTACTGGAAACATAGAGCCTCTATATAGTAGCTTGGACACAGGAGAGTACAAACCCTTGGGTAGTTTTCACTCTTGGGAAGCAGAGTTTAGCAGTAGATGCTTAGACAGCAGAGGGATGAAAGTCAGTTTGACATATTGTCTGAGCCTTTATAGTGCTTTAGACCCTGAATCAAGACCAGTAGTTTGCTGTAGCTATTGGTTTCACGCAGGAGCCAAGAGAAGTGTCTTCCTATGGTCTGTTGGCTTCAGCCCCTCTGCGGGAATGGCCAGTTCAGTTGGAAGAAACATAGTCTGTAGAATACAATGTTTTGTGCGTGTGTGTGTGTGTGTGTGTGTTTTATTATTTATTTGGCTGTGCCGGGTCTTAGTTGTGGCACTCGGGATCTTCCTCACTGCGTGTGGGATCTTAGTTGCGGCACACGGGATCTAGTTCCCTGACCAGGGATTGAACCCGGGTCCCCTGCATTGGGAGCGCAGAGTCTTAACCACTGGACCACCAGGGAAGTCCCTCTGTGTGGGGGTGTTTTAAAGAGCAATTGGATATGTTAGGTTTAAGAATCAGGGACTTTTCTCTGTGGGGATAGGGACTTAACTAAAATATTTCCTGGCCATTCGGAAGGACTTTGAGTTTTTCGTCTTCCTTCTTTCTTCCCCCATCCCCTTTCCTCTTTTGCTCCCTGGCTCGCTTTGTGGCCATTAGAATATTAATCAAGTGGTCTCATATTGTCCAATCTATTAAGTCAGTATTTCGTTTTAATTTGCATGTATGCTGATTGTCCATATTAGATTCATCACTGGTGAACTTAGATGTCGACTACAGTTAGTCTTAGAAGTATATGCCTTTTTTTTTTTTTTTTTGGTCACGTGGATCCTAGTTTCCCAACCAGGGATTGAACCTGTGCCCTTGGCAGTGAAAGTGCAGAGTCCTAACCACTGGACCACCAGGGAGTTCCAGTATATGCTTTTTAAAAATATTTCTTTTTGTGGTAAGATACTTGTAAGATTTACCATTTTAAAGTGTACAGTTCAGTGGTATGAAGTACATTCAAAACATTGTGCAACCATCACCACTATCAATTTCCGGGGCTTTTCAGTCAGTGCAGACAGAGACTGTACTCGTTAAACTGTAACTCCCACTCCCCCTCTACCTCCAGCCCCTGGTAGCTCCTGTTCTACCTTTGCCTCTGAATTTTTCTGTTCAAAAAAGATATGCTTTTTAAAGCTACTGTAGTGGCCTGTGCTTTATATTTGGCAGCAAGGAAAAAATTCTCAGTGCTTTTCAATCTTATGCCATTTGTTGCACACTCTGGGGAACTCGTTATTTGTTTTAAAGGTAGGCAAGGGGTGAGGGAAGTAAGGGAGAATTCTTCGAGGTTTGCTGAAAAATGCCAACTTTAGCTTATTGGTCCCCTTGATATTGCTAATAGGCTTTTTTCTCTTTCTTTTCCTAGGACTTGGATGTTGTGGGTGACGGTATGCAGTGCCCTCCTTCACCCTTGCTTTTTGATCCTTCACTGACCCTTGAAGATCATCCTGTAAAAGAAATTGCTGAAGGCCCAGTGGATATTTTGGCAAGTGAAGAATACCTCCAGCCAGGCAGAGGGTCCCCTGCTGGCTGTGGCCAGCATGTACTCCTGGGGGTCGGGGTTGTCATCACTAGCTGTGCAGGTGCTCCAGATGGCAGTTCTCCAGATGGGCCTTAGAGAGAACACTTACTAGCTCCTGGTCCCCGTATCTGGGAGAGCAGGACAAGTTTATTTAGTTAACTAGAAAAGGTTGAGACAAGGAGTGTAAGAAACTTGTTGCTTTAAGGGAGAGTTCAGCCCTGGAATTGTTTTCATCAGAGTTAAGCACAAGCAGCACGATTTGGCTTCTTTCTTTGAGCTTTGGGTGGGACACTCATGGCTCTGACTGAAGACCTGCAGTTATACTACAGCTGTTGGTTTCAAACAGAGGCCCAGAGGACTGTCTTCCTGTGATCTGTTGGCTGTTCTGGAAACTCAGCAGAGAATGGCTATTTCATTTGGAAGAAACAACCCACAGCTCTCCTTTCCATTGGGAGGGCCTCAGGAATGCTACAAGTAACGACTTCTGACTCCGAGGGCCAGGGATAGTTAAGTATGGGGAAGAGCAACCGCATAGAGTTATATCTGCTGTCTTGTTCTTGTTGCTACTATACATGGGCGTTATATAAGTCAGATTCATGCTTCAGACCACAGTTAATGAGTTTGTAACCAAAGTGACTTTTCTTTTAACAGGGCCAGATGCAGATGGCTGGAGATGGGTGCAGATCACAGGGATCCCGAAATTCTGAGAAAGCCTCTGCACCATTGCCTCAGAGTGGAGTGGCTACTGCAAACGGAAAGCCAGAACCCGCTTCTGTCAGTTGATAGTTTGCTTTGGGAACCAGTTGACTTTGGAGGATTTGTATTTCCCATTTAAACAAGTATTTCTGACTGTCTCTCACTAAAGGACAACCTGGACTACCTTGTTTTTCTTCTGGGTTACTGAGTGCTATAGTCAAACCACATGCTGGGGGAAGGGACCAATAGTGTCTAAAAATTGTGGATGTCTTCCCACTCTGGGCAGGGAAGAGGGGTGATTCCCATCAGAGCTGCTGAGCTTGAGAGTATTTTGGGACCGTGCCTAAGCGGGGAGAGAGTTTTGTAATGCTGTTTCCCAAGTCTAGGGATGTTGATGGACCCAATGGCTGTTTATCTCTGTCTAGCAGCCTGTTTTAGCCTTTCCTCACTTCTCACCTAATTGGGTAATCTGAAGCCCCTCCCCTCAGTGAACTCTGACCTATAGCCTCTGAGAAAATAGCCCACAGGACTGGGCCCTCCTTAACCATCCATCTTGCTTCTAACCTATGTAAATTTCTGTAGTGGCTATCTTATGTAAGATACAATAAAAAATTATCGTACATAGTTTCTATTAAATGTTAAAATGTTATGAAAACAATCACTTGAATGCATGTTTTGTTTGTGTTTGAGAGAGAGTGTGTCTGTGTGTATTTTGGGTTTTTAGGGAGCTGCCTCTGATGGAAAAGGGAAAACAAGGACACATACACTTCCATCCCAAGAAGTAAAGACATTTTCAGTAATTAATTTGCTTTTGGTTTTGGTTGGGAGGATAAGTTAAAAACCATGTAAGAAGTAAACGGAAAGGGTGGGACTTCCTTATTAAAGCCTACCTACCCAGAGTTACGTTATTTCTGCAAATATCTCCCAAATGTCTTCTTTTTACCCTCTGTGCCGCACCCCTCCTCCCACTCCCATTTCTTTCTCACAATTAATGCCTGATTATTGTTGCAAAATTCTCTAAGGCTAGGAATGTGTGTGTGTGTGTGTGTGTGTGTGTGTGTGTATATATATATATATATATATATAAATATATATATATAAAACTTCTAGAGAAATTGGGCCAGATGCTGGATCACAGACATAAACTGTCAAGATTATTTTGATGATGAATCTAAGGGTAGGGTTAAAACAGACGTTCAGGTAGGGTTAATTTACCTATGCTAGAAGTTGTCTGTTACTATAATGCAATATGACAAGAGGCCAAAAGATTACCTTTTATAAGAACTGAACTGAGGAACAGAGAAGGGTTGTACAGTTAACACCATCACCGCCATCACCTTGGCTTTAGTTTAAATATTTACTTCCAGGGAATGGTCAGGAAATGACTCAGAAGACCCATCAGGTGAATCCTGAGATCACCTGTAATAGGGCTTGCAGTATACTTTTGTTCAATTTGTTGTTCCCACTGCTTTCTTGTCTGGTACTTTTTACCCTGTATACACAAAGACAGACATTACTTCTTAAGCAGCTTGAACATACCTGCTTCTGCAACAGGATTAGAGATTAAAACATCCTCTTCCCATTGTTTTATTTTTTTTCTTCCCATTGTTTATTTATTTGTTTATTTTTGGCCACTCTGTGTGGCATGCAGGATCTTAGTTCCCCGACCAGGGATCAAACCCATGCCACCTGCAGTGGAAGCGTGGAGTCCGAACCGCTGGACTGCCAGGGAAGTCCCATCTTCCCATTGTTTTAAAAAGTAACCTGCAAACCACTAGCATCCACGTCACCCAGTGTGATTGTTTTGTAAACTCCAGTTTCTCTGGAGTTCAGCTCTTATTAAGTCCCCAGCATGCTCCTCAGCTGAGCCTGCTCTTATGCTGCAGGTGATAAGGGCCCCCTTTTAAGGAACCCCTCTGGCTCTCTCACCCTTCAGCTATCTTTAAAAATTAACTGTACATTACATCCCCAGAATGTATTAATCTTATAACCGGAAGTTTGTACCTTTTGACTACCTTCACCCATTCCCCCTATCCCCACCCCTCCATCCCCCTTCACCTCTGGCAACCACAAATCTGCTTTCTGTTTCTATGAGTTTGGGTTTTTTTTAGATTCCACATTTAAGTGAGATAATAAGGTATTTATTTTTCTCTGTCTCACTTATTTCACTTGGTGTAATGCCCTCAAGGTCCATTGTTGCAAATGGCAAGATTTCCTTCTTACAGGAAGCTTTGTAAACAGTATGTGGCTGGGATAAAGATAGGTTGATGCCTTCAGAATCCAGCAACCAGGGATAGTATAATGGGCAAGAGGTCATAGTTTCAATCTTCTTTGAATCTAGCTTCCTCTAAGTGGAGACAGTATTTTCTGGATTCCCTGTTCTTTTATTTTCCTAACACTTTGGGGTCCCCAACTGGCTCAGCTACCCAAATCCTACAACCTGCAATGATTGGCCACCCTGGTAGTAACCCCAGGTCATCAAGACTGTCACTATCCTGGCATCATCAGGCAATACCAACTGGCCTCACTGTTCAGCCCCTGTGGATGGCTGCATTTGAACAGTGTATCTAACCAAAGTCCCTCGGATCTAGTCTGCTGTTTCTAGTGCCCTCCTGCTTTGATCAGATGTCACTTATGCAGCTGAGTCAAAGATGTAGGGATGGGAGTGATGAGTAGAGAATTGAGGGCTACAGTTTGAAAAATGACTTCTATTCCCTTCCCCAGCCCTAAATTCGTGCTGCCGATTAGCGATAGCTACCTGAATGTCCTGTAAACCTCCTCTACCTATGTCTCATGACTTAGTGAATGGTATACCATCCACTCAGTGCCTAAACTGGAAGCCTAGCGGTCATCCATTGTCCTTCCTCTCCTCTATAGCCCACATCTGATTGATTACTATCTGGTTGATTCTTCCTTCATAATATCCCTTGAGTTTGTCCCCATTGTCTCTACTGACGTTACCTTATTTTGAACCACAGGTTGCAAACTGGTGACGTTTGCACCAGATTTGGCCATTTGATTGGGTTTAGTTTTGCACAATTTTAAAAATAAAAAAGTTTTCTTGAAAATTTGTAAGATCTGGCAATACCGGGCAGTATTCTTGCATGAAGACTATTAATTGGAGCTGAATAGTGGCTATCTTTTTAAAGAAGTTATGTGCTTTTGATTTTTCACAGTTCCCACCATTCCCTATTGTCTTTAGAACCTGCCTGCTTCACTCATTTTTGTTACATGTCTGGCTTCTGCAGGGGCTGGAATCTGTGACCCCTTGTTTTCTCTCAAGAGAAAACCTTCTAACTGGTTTCCCAGCCTGAAGTTTTACCCTTCTTTAACCCATACTGCAGCCAGAATGATCTTGGAAAGAAACTTTATCCAGTCACTCCACTGCTTATGCCAACCTCTAGCCTTCAGTGGTATCTCACTGTTGTCAGGAACAAACAAACAGCTCTTTAGTATGATGACATTTAAGACCCTTCGTGATCTGACCTTACTTATCTAATGTCAGTCAGCTCAAGGAAATGTTCCTTCTCTTACACATTACTCTCCAGCCATATTCAACTTCTTGGATTTATTTGAAAAGAAAGCATTAAAATGTGGCCATGTGTCTGGGGTTTGGATCAGAAGGATATGGACTTAAGAAATTTGCTGCAGGTTTTTTTTTGGCAGATACTATCAGGTTAGCAAGTTTCCTTTCTATTCCTGGTTTGCTAAGTTGAAAAAAAAAATCACATACACTGAAATTTTTCAGAAGAATTCTGCGTCTATTGAGATGACTATGATTTTTCTTTTTTTATGTCTAATATGTTGAAAGACATTTATTTCTAATTATAAGCATATTTTTTTATTCCTCATATAAACCCTACTGGTCATATTTTATTATTCTTTTTAGACATTCTTGGATTTAGGCGCTGTCTCTCCTCTCTCTCTCTATGTTTATATAGGTATGTTTTGGAATTTTTACATCTGAGCTTATAAATGAAATTGGTTGGTAATTTTTTTGTTTTGCTATCATGGTTATGCTACTCATAAAGTGAGTTGGGCTTCTATCCTTTTTTCACATTCTTTGGAATAGTTTGTGTAAGATTTGAATTATTTTTTTTTCCTTGAATATTTAGTCGAACTTGCCTATGGAGCCATATGAGGCTAAAGTTTTCTTTGTGGAAAGACTTGTTTTCTGATTCAGTTTATCTAGTGATACATGATTACTAAAATTTACTGTTTCTCCTTGTGTTGGTTTTGGTAAGTTATGTATTTTCTAGGAATCTGCCCATTTCACATAAATCTTCAAACTTATTACAGTTATTTATAATATAATCTTATCTATTTTAAGAGTGAATAACATTTAGTGATTCTCTTTGTTTCATTCCTGTTATTGACTATCAGTGCATTCTCCCTTTTTTTTCTTAGTCTCTCCAGATATTTATCAATTTCATTAGTTTTTCATTAGACTTTTGGTTGAGTTGTCCTTTTCTAATGGATTTTTGTTTTCTACTTTATGTGACTGTGCTCTTATCTTTATTATTTCTTCTTACTTTCTTTCTGCCTCAAATAATCTATTATTTTTACATCTAGTAGTGCTTTTGCCTAAAAGTACAGGCATATCTCATTTTATTTTATTTGCTTTATTGTGCTTTGCATATACTGTTTTTTTTTTAAACAAATTAAAGGTTTGTGGCAACCCCGTGTCAAGCAAGTCTATTGGCACCATTTTTTCCAACAGTATTTGCTCCCTTTGTGTCTCTGTCACATTTTGGTAATTTTCACAATATTTCAAACTTTTTCGAGGCGAGACCCTCCACCATCAGAGATTACGACTTGCTGAAGGCTCAGATGATGGTTAGCATTTTTTAGCAATAAAGTATTTTTAAAGTATGTACGTTGTTTTTTTAGACATACTGCGGTTACATACTTAATAGACTATAGTATAATGTAAACTAAACCTTTATATGCATTGGGAAACTAAAAAATTTGTGTGACTCACTGTTGTGATATTGGCTTTAATGTGGTGGTCTGGAACTGAACGTGCAATATCTCTGAGGTATGCCTGTTTATTTGGCCTCACATTAACATATGTATATCAGCTTTCCTGCTCTCTCTTTTAAAAAAAATTTTTTTAACTTTTACGTTTTGAAATAATTATAGATTTTTCTCAGGAAGTTGCAAAGATTGTACAGAGAGATCCTGTGTATACTCTAACCAGTTCTCCCCAGTGGTTACATCTTATGTAACTATAGTACGATATCAAAATCAGGAATTTGACATTGGTACAATGTGTGTGTATAGTTCTTTTTCATCTTATCACATGTATGTATAGATTTGTGTAACCACTGCAATCAAGATATAGAACTGTTCTATCACCACAAGATCTCTTTCATGCTACCCCTTTTTTAGTCACATCCACCCTCTCCTTCCCATCATACTTAACTTTGGGCAAGTACTAATTTGTTCTCTGCCTTTATAGTTCTGTAATTTAAAAATGTTGTATAAATGGAATCATACAGTCTGTGACCTTTTGAGATTGTTTTCATTCTGCAAAATGCCCTTGAGATCCATCTAATTTAATTTGCCTGTATCGGTAGTTGGTTCCTTTTATTGCTGAGTAGTATTTCATCGTATTGATGTGTTCTATAGTTTAAATGTTCACTTAATTTTTAAAAT